CTGATTTCCCTACAGTTATTGTTCATTTTACATTGATGAACTTGAAGGGTAGAGCTGGAAGTAGAATGTGCAGTGATCCTGATAATGTTTTAAAACGGAGGTTTAAAACTTACACAGAACTTGTAGATACATTGTTTGTTTTTTAGAAGAGCCAAGATTCTGGAGTGTGTTATGAAATGATGGGACATTGTATTGCTTGTTACTTCCACTAGAGGTTAATGTCTGCAAATATATATATATTTTTTACAATCATTAGGAAAATGACTGGATATATTGAATCAACCTGGTGGCCAACTACAAGAAACGTCTGACCTCTGTGATAGCCAACAAGGGTTTTGCCACCAAGTACTAAGTCATGTTTTGCAGAGGGGTCAAATACTTATTTCCCTCATTAAAATGCAAATCAATTTATAACATTTTTGACATGCGTTTTTCTAGATTTTTGTTGTTGTTATTCTGTCTCTCACTGTTCAAATAAACCTACCATTAAAATTATAGATTGATCATTTCTTTGTCAGTGGGCAAACGTACAAAATCAGCAGGGGATCAAATACTTTTTACCCTCACTGTATGTATCTCTATTAGTGTTAATGTCAAACTACAATGTTGAGATTTTGACTCATAGAATAGTTAGTTTACTGTGGTAGATCATCATGATGAAACCGTTTGGTCTGGAAAGTACAGGGAGAGTGACAGTGTCATGGGAAATCTTGTTTGGATTCCTTATCATGCCTATACTGTATATCAAAGAATCTATATATTTCATTCAGCAGTCTGGGCCACTCCTCTCGGATCAGAAGGAAATACTTCCTCTTGAGATGAGCCTTGTCAGACATGCTTAAATGGCACCAGGAAATGGGATTATTTGAACTCCAGCGGTTCACCAACTCTCTGGTTAGGTGAGATTTCAAGAGAAATCTCTCCCTATGTAATTAGAGGTAAACCAGGCCACCAATTCTGGAGTTTCTCTTGGAGTGAACTAACACTTCCTGTTTCCTTTTCAAAAAAAGGAAAAGAGATTACCTATAGATATACAGGTACACCACAACCAAACTCATTCACTCCCCATGTTATGTTACCCAAATACCACAGCAGGTCAATGAGCCACAGACTGGTGGTGTTGGTATGGTGGATATGGTGAGGCTGGAAGTAAGCCTTGTGAACTGGAAACTGAAAGTACCCATCATGTGCAGTAGTAGAAAAAACATTTCACACACTGCTGATTTCTGGAATTCCTAAGTAGTGACTTTATGAGTAAGTGTCTAAAACAGGGTTTCCCAAACTCTGTTCTGGATAAGTGCATATCCTTGACACTTCCTGGTTTTGGTTTTTGCCCTAACATTACATAGATGATATAAATAACCAACTAATCACTAAACTTTGATTATTTGAATTAGCTGTGTAGTGCTAGGGAAAAAAACTAAAGGTGCACCCAATGGGGGCCCCAGGACCGAGTTTGGGAAACCCTGGTCTAAAACACCAGGAAGTGTCAAGGATGTGCACTTATTCACTCATGGAAATAATTCTGATTTATTAACTGGTGGATGCTTTTCCAAAGTTGGCCTACAGTATCGGCACGAAAATATGAACTTTTTTTGCAGTGATCCCAATAATGTTGAGTTATACTTAATAAATTATGAGGTTGGCAGACTGCAGAGCATATCTATGAAATTCAGATCAGAAGACTGACCCAGCTGAGAATATTCCCTATTTTATTCAACAATTTAATACACATTAACATCAGTCAAACACAAACAAACTGTACATGCTGCCTTGATTTGTGAAAGCTCTTATTTCCAAACAGGCTAGAGTTGAGTGAGGGATCATAAAGTACAGGAAATTTGCTCTCTGGAAGTGTGTGTGAGAGAGATTATAGCTCTGTGTGAATACTGTCCTGTGAGGTGGCCACTACACTGACTGCTGCGCTCTCGAAGGGTGCTCCTCTGTACACAAACGAGATCCGGGAGCTGACTGTTCTATTCCGCAAACGCTCAGAGGAAAACGGTGAGGCAGAAAGCGGTGGGCAAAAATAAAATTCAGGTTGTTTAAGAACCTAGGGAACTTTCACTCTTCACTTGAAAGGAAATAACATTGAAAGGAAAAGGCAAAGAAATTCCGTATCCAAGATTAGGTAAGTGGTTGGAAAAAGTTTGCTAAATATTTTCTGCGTTTTTGTCCAGCTTCCTTCATGTCCAAATGAAAATGATTTGCTGGGCATTGTATTCTCGTTTACTCTTCTCATTTACTTAACTCCATTGGATTTTTACATGTTTCTATAATGTGACAACAGGTTTTCGAGCCACTTACTAGTGTTGCCACCGCCAATTATCCTCGAGCACCTGGTGCGATATGAAGTACCGAACGACAAATTGTCAGCTATGGATTTTCTTCACCCCCATTCTTTGCATAGGGTGTACTTTGGCAGTTCTGTTTCATATAGCGATATAGCTGTCAAACTCTAGGCGGCAGTTGCCTTCTCCCTAGTTTTCAGCCATTAGCTTCACCCACGACTACCTCATGTGAACTACAATCCCGACGCTGTATTTCAACGTTTAGAAACGTCAATCATTGCTTGCTATATGGCTTTCAAAACATATGCCCCATTCATTAGCGAAAAAGTGTCCTTCAAATAAAAAAGATGCACACACTTACTGTAGCAGTTTTGCACAGATCCATACAGCTGTGGGTGCCTCCATCTGACAAAACTACACGTCTGCTACACTTCCCGAGTTATGCTTACACACAGGTGTTCAGAGCACGCTCGATAGCTAATTAGCACAGGTGGTCACCGCTTGTCTTCAGTGAACAAGCTCTGTGACATGGCCTTGTGGGAACACTAACCATATCAAGGTGTGTATCAATTTAACCTTTTTGTTTTTTGAAAATTATTTCTCACTGATATGAAAGATAAGGTCCTTATGCTTCCAAAACAGTACCTCAAGTGACGATTGTTAATGTACAGATTGAGCGTGGGGCTCTTAAACTAAACTCCCCCATACAGAAGATGCCTTCGTCCAATGACTTGTGTAATGTAATGAAACTGAGAGTCATGATCAAGGGCTTATAGAGATGGAGAATGGACACTTGACAACTTTCAATATGATGGGTAGAGTGGGTGAGTTTGACCCAAAAGTATAGGCCTACTTATTGTGCTATTGATTTGAGCTTGTCCAGGTATATTGAAACCACATTTTACTAACATACTTCCCTCACCTGTGTTTACGACCATTATTTTATAGGGAACAGACAGCTGCCAACCAATCAAGAGTTACTTTCCTACAACAGCCAGGGAGTCGGTGAACTCGAGGGACCTTACTCCGCAAACAGTGCCAGCTGAGACCACGCTAGGCCTATTCACCATAATGGCCTCTATTTGTTTTACAGAACTAATGCTTCTCCAGTGCATAAACAATTACTCCCATTTCAACTCTACTAAGTGGAGGCCTGTTCTGTGATACAGTGATATCTGTCCCGTCAGAGATGTACCCGTTATTGTGGCAGATGGTGTGGCATGCCAGTATTAAAATTCATCACCCCCTACTCAAAGTAATCTAATGCTACTTGTCCACAAAGAGTTGTGGCCACGTGTTTCTCAACACTTCATCATTCAGTAACTTTGGTCTCTAATATCTTGGAGAATAATATCATTATGGTACAACTGGATATTGAATTGAGCGCTATTGGATAATGTAGGCAACTCTGTCGTAGCCGGCCGCGACCGGGAGACCCATGGGGCGGTGCACAATTGGCCCAGCGTCGTCCAGGGTAGGGGAGGGCATGGCCGGTAGGGATGTAGCTCAGTTGGTAGAGCATGGCGTTTGCAACGCCAGGGTTGTGGGTTCGTTTCCCACGGGGGGCCAGTATAAAAAAACAAAACAAATTATGGATGCACTCACTAACTGTAAGTCGCTCTGGATAAGAGCGTCTGCTAAATGACTAAAAATGTACATGTAAATGTCTCAGCAGTACAACAGTTGTCACAGATTTAAGGTAGAAAAATATTTCCCCAAAATATTATTTTGCCTTAAGACTTCTTGAGCAACAGTGTAAATGTGCATGACGTGACCAGGATTTAGCAGGCTTACGTTCTGAGGGGAAAACAACATGATCCAATGGGTTTCCCGCATATTCTTTGTACACACAGTGTGGGACTTATGATCCAATGACTTTAGACCCACAAAGCTATGGTCAGATGAAAGTTTGACTGGTGCCTTGTGATAGGGGATTATAGTACAGACCTGCCTTTTGCACAGTATCTTTACAAAATCATTTTGGCCATTACATCATGCAGTTGCCTTATTTAACACATTTACCACACAGCTCATCCCCCATGTTATAAGTAAGTGGCAGTGACTCACTATCACACACACCTATAATCTCTGTGGGCACAAACATGGAATCATAGAGATACAGCTTCAACAAGAGCTTTTCTTTGCCCCACAATACTGTCTGTGGACCGTCCTCTACATTCCCCTTTGTTGTGAAATATCACTACTTTTTGAGATGGCCGTGCTGAGCTAGCTGGCCTGGCCCACTAATGGGCCTGGCGGCTTTGTTCTGGACCGGTCTCCAAGGAGGAGTCCTCATCAGAGGGAAGCTGTGGTGTGCAGCCCTGATCGATCAGCTGAGGACAAGGGGGGAGGCCATGGACTCTCCTTTCACGCCCATGCCTTGCAGTCATTACATCCTCCCACTTTTTTAGGAATGAGTGACGGACACTAAATGGTCTTTATGGTGTGCAACTTAATACCCAGTGGCAGATGCTGCAGCCTGCAAGTGACTGAGTCATAATAGCTATGACATGAGCAGGTTTTGAAAACTCCCCGCAACCTCCCTTTCATTACTGGTTCATAACAATTTAGGGGACTGGGCCTGGCCTATGTTGATTTGACCTAACTGTTGAGTTGTATTGGTATGAAATTCAAATAATCCTGATGATTTGGTGTTTAATTCACCCTGAGCTGTAGTATCACCTCTCACACCTCTGCCTTCCCCTCTAGATGGCGTCAGTGAATGACTCTCGCCTTCAGCAGCAGCCTGCTCAGAAGGATGCGGCTGACCAGAACTTTGACTACATGTTCAAGCTGCTGATCATTGGCAACAGCAGTGTGGGGAAGACCAGCTTCCTGTTCCGCTATGCTGATGACTCCTTCACCTCAGCCTTCGTGTCCACCGTGGGCATAGACTTCAAGGTCAAGACCGTCTTCCGCAATGACAAGAGGATAAAGCTACAGATATGGGTGAGTTAGCCTTATGCATTTTGTCCCACATGCCAGCTATGGTCTCTACAACATGATTGCCACCTTTGTGCCACATTTTTGCCATCATAGTGGACTCTCATACACATCCCATCAAAAGAGGAAAGTTGTCTTCTGTATTAAACCGGAATATAAATCCATAGGCCAAATCCTTTGCTATTGAATGTAGTTTTTCTGACTGAGATGGCTGATAATTCTATAGTGGGTCAATCACCAACTTTCATCTGCAAGGCCCTTGCATTTTACCCAGTGGTGTTAAGTAACTAAGTAAACATACTTTGAAGTACTACTTAAGTAGTTTTTTGGGGGGCATCTGTACTTTACTATTTATATTTGACAAATTGTACTCCACTTTAATCCTAAAGAAAATATGTACTTTTTACTCCCATACATTTTCCCCTGACAACCCAAAAGTACACATTACATTTAGAATGCTCAGGCAGGACAGCAATATGGTCTAATTCACACACCTATCAATATAACGCCTCTGGTGGACTCACTAAACACAAATACTGCGTTTTTCAAAAGATGTCTGAGTGGTGGAGTATACCCCCAGGCTCTATGTAAATCATGCCATCAGGTTTGCTTAATATAAGGAATTAGATTTATAGCGTGTCATTTTTACTTTGACACAAGTATGACAATTGAGTATTTTTTCCACCACTGTATTTAAGTACATTTAAAACCAGATATTTTAAGACTTTTACTTAAGTAGTATTTTACTGGGTGACTTTCACTTGAGTCATTTTCTATTAAGGTATCTTTACTTTTATTCAAGTATGACAATTGAGTACTTTTTCCACCAATGATTTTACTCTCCATCTCTTTGTATGTTTTGCTGAAAACTTGCTTTCAGTTTCTCATCTCAAACTACTGCAATGTGTTGCTGCTGCTGGTACCACATGTTCTAGACACTTTAAGGCTGTGATTGGACAGGCAGACCAATTCTGATCTTTTTTCCACTAATTGGTATTTTGACCAGCCACATCAGATCTTTTCATAGATCTTTTTCAGAGCTGACCTGATTGGTCAAAAGACCAATTAGTGGAAAAAATATCAGATTCTGTGGAAATACTTGAATAACAGGGCTACCAGATTTGACCATACATTTCTTTCTATGTAGCCTAGTCCCCTGACGTCTGAAAGTGTTTCAATGCAAACTAGTTCCACGTACAGTGAAGGCTGTTTAAACATATGATTAAACAAGACAAACATCCAATATGGTATTGTATTGTATTCAATTATCAAGATGAATCAGCAGCAAAACGTGTCCACACCAATGTACACACAAACCAAGCTGACTGACGCACTGACCCGGTTTCCACCTCTGACACATGATTTGGCTTAATGTTGTCAGCGGTGGCCGGTAGCACTGAATGCCATCTGATGAACATCCAGTGAGTTTCAAATCAGAGAAAATAAAACCCTCCTCAATTTGCCTCCGTGTACTTTGAAGGTGTGGAAGTGTCCATTAAATGAGCCCTGGCTTCGAGAGCAAGTGTACAGTTAATGCTCAACCCTATCCGGAATGGCCAGGGGGTGTTTTAATCCGCAGCATCCTGTTTTCACTCAAACCCTCTGAGCCTCACCTCTCTATGAAGAGTGAACAGTTGGTGCCCTGTCCACACTGGCTGCAAGCTTTCCTCCTTTTGTGTAGCATGAGAAAGGCTTTAAATTATCTTTATCATGGTTTTAAAAAAACTTTCTCAACCTGAACCATACTGTTTATTCTAGGAGGATACACCACATGGCAATATGTCAACTGCACAATGGCACACACACCTGGTGTCGGAACCACAAAGCACAGGGCTTAGAGTGTGTCCCTGCTTTGTGTGGGCGGCAGGACCAGGTGACGCATGCTGAGAAGGGTCCTAGTGATGTCAATGGCTCCGACCCCCAACCATTTTACACTCACTGTCATCATGCATATGCTTTTGGACCGGCGGACCGTCTTTTGTTTACTTGGTGTATAGATAGTTATGGAGACAGTGTGAGCCATGGGGACAGTGTATTTGGTTAATGCTACCGTAAGTTCCATTACCCTGCCAAATATTTCATCATGTCTGCACATATCAGATAAGAAGATATGCATCTGGTATCTTTCATACATAAATGAAATAAAAATGACGCAGACTCTCCTTCTGGGTAAGGTCATTTAACAGAAGTACCCCGCTGTGGATACACTGACTCACACACTTACAGAGCACTTGTCTCTCTAGCCTGGCACCTGCTCTATGTTAAGAACAGCTCTATTTCTTGCAATCTCTAAAATCGGTGGCAGTTCGTTTGGGCTGACTACCCTGCACACTATTAGTCCTAATGAAACATTCATAAACCTCAGTGACCCTACTGTTACCTGGGCAACCTCCCCCCATCCATCCCCCTCACTCATGATTCAGTGATGTAAAGTCCTCTGATGCAAATGAGGGACCCAGGCCAGGTTACCAAGCGACGGCCAAGGATAGTTGCCATGCCAACTTGTTTCATGTTAACCTTTTCCAGGGAAGCAACTCTGACATCACACTCAACCTCTACTTAATTGAAAGATGTTTCCAATAAACAGGTGTCTACAGCTCTGCGGCACCAGAGAGCTGTTAGACATCTGACGCCCTCTGTGTTCTTTTTATTCTCACTGGGTTTTTGTTAGTGGGCCAGGGTTTGTTGTTTGACAAGAAGTTATGTTGATGGACATGGCATATGTAGATGTTACTCTTGTTTAATCATGTATCTGACACTTTAATTTATAATATTCTGAAGTTCAGTGGCTTTGGGTGGGAAGGTTTAGGCTGATAGGACAATTTAAAGGACAAGGCACTGTATCACAGAAGTATGTTTATTTATGTCAAATATCCATTTGGTATGTTTTTTTTATTAATCATTGTAGTCTTTTTCTAGACTTGCTGAATATTTAAAAGCGTACACACACAGTCACCTCTGGCGTCTCAATTCTGTAGGCCTTAGTCAATATTGCCCCCTTCTGGTCTCACAAAATACCACACAATTTAACATGTTCCCAAACCTGACCTGTTTGCTGTAAACACAGTAAAGAATGACCATCCATCATGTACCCCACAGGACACAGCGGGGCAGGAGCGCTACCGTACCATCACCACAGCCTACTACAGAGGAGCCATGGGCTTCCTGCTCATGTATGACATCACCAACCAGGACTCCTTCAACGCAGTTCAGGACTGGTGAGTGAAAGGTGGAAGGTTCCATAATTTCAATATTGACCCTGCTGCCTTCTCAGACTGTGCATTTGTCTACTCTCACCTCTGTCATACAGGGCAACTCAGATTAAGACATACTCTTGGGACAACGCACAGGTGATCCTGGTGGGAAACAAGTGTGAACTGGAGGATGACCGGCTAGTCCCCACAGAGGATAGCCAGAGACTGGCCGAAGATCTTGGTGAGTACTATCCACGACAGCATGCAGTCTTCGCAAAGACTATACACCAAGAGGTCACACAACCACAGCATACTGACCTCATGAGAACACACTTACACACAGATATAGCAGGACACAGAACACTTAAGCCTAAATATCTCATCTGCTTTTCTTGAAATCTCTCCACAATAAGTCATTGCTCTACTCTATTTCCCTGTCTCTGTCTGACAGGGTTCCAGTTCTTCGAGGCCAGCGCCAAGGACAACATCAACGTGAAGCAGGTGTTTGAGCGGCTGGTAGACGTCATCTGTGAGAAGATGAACGAGAGCATGGACGGAGATGCCAACCTGATGTCCAACCACAGGGGCACCAGTCTACAGGACTCGCCCCCAGAGAACCATGGGGGCTGTGGCTGCTAAATACCGCCTCACTCCTCCTCACAGCCCCACACCAAACCCTGTCACTGTGCCTAAAGTATAGAGAGTACACCTCTCAAACTACACCCCAACCTCACACCCCCTAACACAGCCACTACAGTGAAAATCATAAAGCAGCTAGCAGAAATAACCATCGGTCCCCTCCCCCCTCGGTCAATCCAGCGCTATCCCACATATCCCCTGCTCTACTTCCTGTCCCCAGCTGAAAAGGCCCCATTTCTCTTGTGTACTGTGGCCTTCACACAGTAGTTCTGTGGTGGGCTGGTATTCATCCGAGTCCCCCCCCGTCCCAACTGCCTCTACCACATGGCCTCCCCTCTGCTCTTCTGGCAAACATTTTTAAAGTATTTATTGTGAGAAACCATTATTTAATGGCTTTACTTTTAAAGCAAAACTAGTTCAATCAGCTTAAAGAAATGCCAATGTGAAGAATATTTGTTATAATGAAATAGTTTCCAGTAGTCATTATTTTAGGTCATTGTTGTGTTCAGAGTTTAATGAATGAAAATAATAGTTTAAGACTCAAATAGAGCAGAAGGTGCTTTTGTCTTGGATGCCCCTTGGCTAGGTGCTCTGCTTTGAATGTATTCATTGGACTAAACTTATCAGAATCCAAAACCAGATAGAAAGAAGACAGCACCCCAAAACCTGAATAAAAATCCAACAAAAATCCAAGTTTTGCTGTCATATTTCGGCTGTTGTATGACCGAATGAAGTCTTGAACAGCGCAAATATGTCAGCACAAAATGGCTAAGGAAAACTAAATGGTTAAAATGAAGTGTGGGGTTGTCATTGTTGTACCCTTTTGAGTGCTGCCTTTTTCTTACTGTCCAACGGTCTGGTCTTGACTAATTAATTCCAGCGTATCCTTGCTCAAAATCTAGATGGAACTGTTATTAATGAATCAGATAACATCATCCAGACAATCACAAAACTGAGTTATTCTGCTGCTTTGGCCTTTTGCTTCCTTATTTACCTGACCTCCATGCTTTACTCTGTGACACTGAAGATGCCATTTTGCCATGTCCTCAGAATAATTGTGCGCTACTACTCGAAACTTTCTTAACCACTACTGCTTACGGGAAAGATAAGGTGAATCGGTCAAAGTATGAGATTCTGTTCCAAACAATGTTAGAGCAATATTGGCCTTGAGTTGTGCTCCAGGGCGTTTGTCTGGGAGGAAGTCGTATAACACTAGTGACACTGACGCGAGTCACGTGACCTGCTCTGGCATGTCCTCGCTCACCCCTCTGTGCCACCCTTCCTACTCACTGTTCTTACACTTTCCAACCCAATTGCACAAGGCTTCTCAACAGTGTGTCCTGTCCTGTAATCTGGATGTGCCAGTGTAAACTGCCTGCATTACTTGCATGATGTTACTGTACTGTTCTTACTTCTAAGTTACTGTCTATGAAGTAGCCTAATTAAAGTGTGGTGATTGGCCAAGCATGACACACATGCTAATTCATTTTCCAAATCATATGCTCAAACTGCAAGACCAATGGTGCTCCCAAAGAATGTACAGTACATTCCATTGTACTGCTTGGATGGCTTCAGTGCCCCAGCGCTTCAGAAGAAAAAATAACTTGTGGGATACAAGGCCCAACTGGACTGGAGACATGCATCTCCCCCTTGTCTCTTTTCTGGCCCTCTGTTACTAACAGACACTGCAATTTCCCTATCACTAGCCCCACACTGATCACTGGCCATCCGTTAGGGTCAGGCACTGTCTCTGCATGATAGCTGCCTTATGTTTTCATGCCAAAGCACCGCTAAAGCTGAGGGGTTGGGTCAAAGCCCGCCAAAAGTATTCATGAGCGCTTACTCTCTCCCATTGCTTATCACAAAGACAGACTTATCCATCTGGGTGAACTGCTGATGCTGACTCGCTGTTTGATATTAGCTGGCTGATTTTATCAAGTTATCTCCCCTTTTCATCTCCTACCACGAGCAAGTGGTCTCGTTGTGGTGTGAAACATTGTACTGTAGACTTATAACTTAACCTTTACTGCTTTGTTGCCAATGACACAGGTCAAACATTTTCTGTAAGTTTTCACAAGGTTTTCACACACTGTTGCTGGTATTTTGGCCCATTCCTCCATGCAGATCTCCTCTAGAGCAGTGATGTTTTGGGGCTGTCGCTGGGCAACACGGACTTTCAACTCCCTCCAAAGATTTTCTATGGGGTTGAGATCTGGAGACTGGCTAGGCCACTCCAGGACCTTGAAATGCTTCTTACGAAGCCACTCCTTCATTGCCCGAGCGGTGTGTTTGGGATCATTGTCATGCTGAAAGACCCAGCCACGTTTCATCTTCAATGCCCTTGCTGATGGAAGGAGGTTTTCACTCAAAATCTCACGATACATGGCCCCATTCATTCTTTCTTTTACATGGATCAGTCGTCCTGGTCCCTTTGCAGAAAAACAGCCCCAAAGCATGATGTTTCCACCCCCATGATTCACAGTAGGTATGGTGTTCTTTGGATGCAACTCAGCATTCTTTGTCCTCCAAACACGACGAGTTGAGTTTTTACCAAAAAGTTATATTTAGGTTTCATCTGACATTCTCCCAATCCTCTTCTGGATCATCCAAATGCACTCTAGCAAACTTCAGACGGGCCTGGACATGTACTGGCTTAAGCAGGGGGACACGTCTTACACTGCAGGATTTGAGTCCCTGGCGGCGTAGTGTGTTACTGATGGTAGGCTTTGTTACTTTGGTCCCAGCTCTCTGCAGGTCATTCACTAGGTCCCCCCGTGTGGTTCTGGGATTTTTGCTCACCGTTCTTGTGATCATTTTGACCCCACGGGGTGAGATCTTGCGTGGAGCCCCAGATCTAGGGAGATTATCAGTGGTCTTGTATGTCTTCCAATTCCTAATAATTGCTCCCACAGTTGATTTCTTCAAACCAAGCTGCTTACCTATTGCAGATTCAGTCTTCCCAGCCTGGTGCAGGTCTACAATTTTGTTTCTGGTGTCCTTTGACAGCTCTTTGGTCTTGGCCATAGTGGAGTTTGGAGTGTGACTGTTTGAGGTTGTGGACAGGTGTCTTTTATACTGATAACAAGTTCAAACAGGTGCCATTAATACAGGTAACGAGTGGAGGACAGAGGAGCCTCTTAAAGAAGAAGTTACAGGTCTGTGAGAGCCAGAAATCTTGCTTGTTTGTAGGTGACCAAATACTTATTTTCCACCATAATTTGCAAATAAATTCATTAAAAATCCTACAATGTGATTTTCTGGATTTCTTTTTCTCAATTTGTCTGTCATAGTTGACGTGTACCTATGATGAAAATGACAGGCCTCTCTCATCTTTTTAAGTGGGAGAACTTGCACAATTGGTGGCTGACTAAATACTTTTTTTCCCCACTGTAGCTGTGTAAAAACACTAGACCCACATTCCATCTGAATTATGCCCAAGTTGTAAAGCTTTCTCCTGGGTGGTGTTTGTCACTGTATTTAAAGTGTTTTTCTTTCTGCTGCTGAAGGTAACTGGATTGAAAGTGGTGAGGCTTTACTGAAAGTCCTGAGGAGGACTTCTCTAAATCACATGCTGATGCACTGATACCCAGTTTATCTAAAGACCTCAATGTCAGTTGATTAAAGAACTACCAAATGGTGGTACTCTGTCCCATAACATATTTTTTGATAATTATGTTCAACATCTAAAAAGTTGTTTAAGTGGAAGTAATTTTATCCTTTATTTTTTTCTGTGGAATTGGTTAGTTTATGTGTTGTCATGCATTCCATAGGTTATATAGGAGGTTTGTTATACTATTAAGGGGGAACCATACTGTTTTGTGTCTTAATGTATATTTGTTTTGTTCCTATTGAAGGTTCTGGAACTGTTTGATGGAAAGTCTTATTAGAAAAGGCATATACCTTTGAATATGTGTTTATGAAAATAAAGACTTCATTACAAAATAAATGCTGAGTTGTTGTTTTATTGTGCAATCCTGATGCTAAATCGTTTAGATGATTAGAACTTGTGAAAGCACAACATCTATGCATTCAAGCGGACAAAGGCTTGAGACCCATGTTCTATGGTGGTACCATCTATAATTTATGGCCTTACATCCTACCTCCCTTCCCCATTGGATAAAGGGGGGTTTGTGGTGTTTCTTTATCTAACGACACAGAAAACCACACTGCCGTGGTCCTCCTCAACAATAAGAGGTTTCCTGGTGCCCTTTCCTGTCACCTACCAGTTACCCACAGCCTTTGTGTCCTTTGCAGTTAATCTCCTTGCAATGTTTTGTAACATTTTAATATTTTTACATCATAGTGTAGTCTTACATCATATACTGGTGCCTACTAGAGTTATCAGTGATCTTCCTTAGTGCCAAATGAGGAGGAATCCTCAGCCTGAGCCCACTAAAGTCAAGTGATGTAAGGCAAGGCTAAATTACATTCAAATGATGTAGGGTTGGGATGAGTCTAAACGCCCCCATGCTTATCACGGGACACTACTCCTTGCAATACAGATATCGCAGGTCGAGCTCAAAAACATGGGTGTAGGTCAGAGATAAGAGACCGTTTACGTGAGTTGTGAGTTCACTGGCTCCATGTGTGGTTTCAGTTATTAGGCCTACACTTGTACCCTATTACCTGTGTATGTCTGCCACGTGCCTCCTTTGTTCCTCACAATAAGGAACCTCAATTATGCATGTTGAAAAAATTGCCCACTACAACTAAATGCAGTTGTCACTTAGAGTTGTGTTGTGGCCCTCAGCTTTCTCCAAGGGTTCCTGTGGTTTGGTGGGACATATTGTCCCGTTGGAAGCACGTTGTAAACTTATTCTAGTCCCGCCCACAGACATGAATGAAAATACTTTGTGAGTTTGAATGCTCCACCTCTACAGTTGGGATTGAGAAGAAAGTAAACAGCTTGGCTTGGACACTTGCTCACACCTTATCTCCTGTGATGCACGCACACAACTGAGTTGCGCTATCCATAGTATCTCAGAGACCGACTGTCACGAAGCGAGAAGGAGAAAACAGACGTTTGGAGCAGGTTGTCTACCAGTTATGCAGTACAACAGAACGCGTAGGCCGCTTTGTTCTCAGAGGAGACAAAAAAATGACAAATGATAACCTGAATAAGCTGTTGGTATTTTGTGTATTATTTTACGCTCAGAAGGCGTCCATCGTGCATGGTGCACAAGCTTTGGAAACTAAAGGTAGGACACATTTCCCCCAAATATCCTACTTGTTTTCTTGACCTTCTATAACACAAGTGTTTACAATTACAACACTTATTTTTAAATCATGTTATATTTTGTATTTCGACATATGTTTGATGTTTTAGATTTGGGTTAAGATTTTGAGACATGTTATCAATTGTCTAAAGTTTTTTTTGGGTGTTTCCTTGCACATTTGGTGAATTTAATAGGCTGTTAATAATAATCATTAATCATCAATAGTCATTCCTCTGGAGCTGTTTGGGGACTTACTTTAAGTCTTCAGCAGTGTTTACTAAATTGTCAAAACATCTCCCGAGTGGCGCAGTGGTCTAAGGCACTGCATCGCAGTGCTAGCTGTGCCACTAGAGATCCTGGTTCGAATCCAGGCTCTGTTGTAGCCGGCCGCGACTGGGAGACCCATGGGGCGGCGCACAATTGGCCCAGCTTCGTCCAGGGTAGGGGAGGGAATGGCCGGCAGAGATGTAGCTCAGTTGGTAGAGCATGGTGTTTGCAACGCCAGGGTTGTGGGTTCCATACCCACGGGGGGCCAGTATGAAAAATAAAAAAATTATGTATGCACTCACTAACTGTAAGTCGCTCTGGATAAGAGCGTCTGCTAAATGACTAAAATGTCAAACCAATAAGGTCCCAAAACCCATTTTCCTTGTGGACTAAGCCTTCCCTCCCTTGTCCACACAGTGGCTCTGCTCCTCCACGTTGAGCCAGAGAATCCAAAGTGCTTTGCTGAGGGGATGTGGGACCTCACCTGCTTCTGGGAGGAGGATGAGGAAAAGGGCTGGCTCTGCTGATCAGTACTCATTCATATACACATACCAGTAAGTCATGATCTGGCAAAGTGTTCAGTTAATAATTGCTGCTGCGTGTACCATATCCTCTCACGCTGTCTTGGTAGAGGGTAGCTACCTGCTATGAATATGTGTTTTGAAGTATGATCACCTCAATTGTCCATTTAGCCTAGAAACTTGATACAAAGTGTGTAAACAATCCAAATGTCTCTCCTCCTCTGCAGGAATGAGAACAGCAGTGAGTGTGCCGTAACTGCCCTACCAGCAGCAGGCGGCAAGAGACTGTATTTTTGCAGGTTGTCCCAGACTCAATTATTTGTGCCCCTTGACATTCGGGTGTTTCAGGATGGCCTGCTGATCCACAACCGCAGTCTCTTCGTTGAACTTGTCTGTGAGTTATAGAGTTTTCGTTGTGGGTGACTTTTGGGAACAATTCCATTTGTTTTTCTCAGGATTTAGGAATGAAATGTTCTTCTCCTGTCTGTGTGTCAGTCCTGTTAGACCCGCCTGCCAATCTGACAGTGACGAGTACAGGGAAGCAGGGGCAGCTGAAGGCCAGCTGGCTGCCTCCCTCTCTCAAGTACATGAGCGACAGCATGATGTACGAGGTCAGCTACGCCATGGCAGGGAGCCACATTGGAAAGGTACTGAACAACACACACCTCACCAACACACACGCTTATATCAGAGGTAGAAGTTTGTTACCAGACAAGAGAAACGTTTGAAGTCTTTGTGAATAATGGTGCCGTTCCTTTATTGGCCTTCTGCAGAGATGTGTCAATGACAATGCATTATCGTCTTGTCTTCAGGTGGAGGAGGTGCAAGCCAGCTCTGAGCTCATCTTGCGTGGTCTGCAGTCAGGGACCAAGTACAATGTGCGCATTCGTGTCAAACTGGACGGCATCAGCTACAGCGGCTACTGGAGCGCCTGGACTGACCCGGTACTGATGGAAACAATGCCTGGTGGTAAGCTTCTTTCTCCTGCAGCAACATTCACATTGTCACCAAAATAATGTGCTTGTCTTGTGAGCTAAACATCTTTGTTCTATTTGTGAGGGATCCCTCCCTTGGATTTCATCCCTGGTGTAACCTTGTTGCTGTGCCATCTTATTTGCAGACTTGGACCCTCTCATCGTGTCCCTGAGTCTCATCATCGCTCTCGTCCTCACCCTGCTGTCTCTCATTGTGCTCATGTCCCATTCCAGGTCAGTTTCCATAAACAACAACTTTCCATAGTTCTTAGTATACCAGACATCATCAGTGGTATATTTATGGAATAAGGCTGTACAATATTGTCCTCAGGTTCCTGTTGAAGAACATCTGGCCAATCATTCCCACCCCTGAAAGCAAGTTCCAAGGCCTCTTTACGGTTTATGGCGGTGACTTTCAGGTGAGTCTTTGTATCCTTGGAATATGAAAGTCAGTATGAAGTACCTTGTGCAGTGTTTATCTATATCCTTTGTGTGTATTGTAGTCTGTTCATCTTGACTCAATATTAGTGCAGACTCCTGAACCTCTCTCATTCGGTTTGTCAATAGGAGTGGTTGGGCCACAGCACTGGAGGCTTATGGTTGAGGCCAGCCTACTTCTACTCCGAGGAATTCCCGGCTCCACTAGAGGTCCTCTCAGAGGTTAGCCTTGGTCCCGCTTTGCCGCCCAAGGCCTCAGAGGCACTTGGTGAAAAAGGAGAGGAGGAGGAGGATGAAGACAAGAAGCTAAAGAGGGTGGACTCTGCATTGATGGAGGGGTGGAGAGAAACCCCCCAGGAGCACTGGCTGATGGACCAGCTCCGGGCTTTTCATCAGCACCCTGCACCCCGGTCCCAGTCGTCTCTACTGGAGTCCCACGATGCCTACGTCACCCTCAACGCTCAGAACCACAGTGGGGAGGAGCCTCTTGATGACATATTGGAGGAAACCTTGCCCCTGCAGGTTCTCTTTGCCTCTGGAAGGACATCCTCTGAATCTCGGTCAGACTTGGGCTCCCTCCAACAGAGCTCAGGGTCGGGCCGCCTCTCGTCCCAGTCCAGTTTTGAGTACCCAAACCACACCTGGCCGCCCAAGGGCCCCGGGTACACCTACATGGCAGTGGCCGACTCGGGTGTCTCCATGGATTACAGTCCGATGAGCTCGAGTAAGATCGATGACATTGGGAAGGGAGTTATCTATACCAATGAGTACAAGAACGAGATCCCTGCACACAGAAGACCCATAGGTACCCCCATCCACTTTGCATTCTGAATTAAGGCTAAGCTATGTAACAGGCTATGAACTGAGGCTTAAAGGTCCAATGAAGCTGAAAAACAGTTGAATATTTGCCATTGGGATGTTTGGCCAAGGCTTCTACATTGACTCGATCTTCTTGTCAGTGGAATGTAAAAAGCCAGGATGTAGGCTACTCTCATAACTATGCGATAACAGACAAACTAAAATGTAAGCTAAAAGGCTTTGGTAAGGAAAAGTCAAAATTATCCCTGATAAGGATTGTATATTTCTTTGGATGTCATAAGCTCATTCTCACAATATCCCTTCATCAGAAGGCAGCTGTTTGAGAAATACATGAACAACTGAAACACTCTAAAGCTGATATTATAAAACACATGTAATGTGTATATCTAAGATCATTGGATCTTGTAGGTACATTTATAAGGTTATTTTCTATATTTTTACTGGAATAACTAGATAAAGTTGACACTTAATTGTAAATATTGTGTTTGTCTATTCGTGTATTGTACAAGAGTATCACTTGGTGTAACCCTGGTCTTAACATGAAGCTCCTGCAAGAATGAAGAGGTACTGTAGGATGTGCAGGAAAGTGTTTAGGCAATGTGTCACATTTCAGTATGATGCTATTGTACACCTCTTGTTTGCAATGCTTAGATCAACAAAGGTTGTAAAAGTCATCATGGTTCCAGTGTATGAATGTTTGTATATCTGTCTATCTAATTGTCACCTCATTGAATCTTACATATTATCATACATTTTGAGAGGCCATAATTGTTGAAACTGTAAATAATAAAAAAAATAATAATAATTGGTTTAAATAAACACCAGTTTGTTGAAAATGTAGGTAATTCCTCCCACCCAACAAACAAAAATTGTGGTTTGGCTAAATGTATAGTTAGATTGAAAAAACTGTCCTTTTTTAAGTTGTCCCATTTGTAAAAATACAGTTGTATACATAAGCACATGTGAATATGACAACTCAATGTGGTAGGGCAGGCATACTCAACTCTAACCCTACGAGGTCCGGAGCCTGCTGGTTTTCTGTTTGACCTGATAATTAATTGCACACACCTAGTGTCCCAGGTCTAAATCAGTCCCTGACTAGATGGGAACAATGAAAAAAAGCAGTGGAACTGGTTTCGAGGTCCAGAGTTTAGTTTCAGGGTGGTAGGGTATCACAATACTTTTTCCATGGCAAAAATTAAAACACAAAGCAGACTAAACTCTTTGGTTCTTTAAAAACCTGCTGTAGGTAAAATATTGTGTGCTATAGCTTGGAAAATAAATAAAAACATGACTCTGGATGACAACAAAATGATTTCCTAAAGAAGTTAAATCCGTTTCATGTTTTGTTTCTTTGCCGAGATAGTGGTATTGTCCCGGCCTTAGAATGTGGACAGTAGTTGAATAGGCATTGGGGGAAAGGGTATTTGACGTCATAACAAGTGAAGTTCACAACAATTTCCTTATATGAGTGACGTAGATCTTAGCATAATGAGCTGAGGTCCTGATCTGTCCAGAGAAGATAAGGAGCACAATCCCCTCACAGAACACAGGTATAGAACATAGCCTAGTAAATAAGGGAAAATCTTTTAAAAACAACCAACGTGAACATTTGTTTAGAATAAAGGCTCCAATCAAACATGTTTAGTTTATTTTTAGTTTATTAAACATGTAGAATATTAACTACTTCCTAATGTCTATTTTTAAATCCTTTGCTTTTCTGTTATTTTCAGTGTTAATTTCTAAACAAACTGCTGAATGTTTCCTCATTTTTTCATTACATGTTATGATAATACTGTGATGATTACCTAAACTGAACTTCTGGCAATCTATCATTTCTGTATCTCTTTACAGTCAACAAAAATGTCAATATCATGCCTAAAATATAACATAAATGTTAAGCAATTCTGATGCGCCTCCATATTAGATATCTTCACAATGTATTTTTGTACTAATATGACTTTAAAATGTATGCCATTAAAGCAAATCAAATCAAATTTTATTGGTCACAAACACATATTTAGCAGATTTTATTGCGGGTGTAGCGAAATGCTTGTAAACTGTGTACCATTTGATGTTCTTGTTGTCCTTTAGTTGAGAAAAACGTGGGGAGACATTCTAATAGTCCCTGATAGCTAATAGCTATAGATGGGTTGGTTTTTTAGCAATAAAACTGACGGGTGCACAGCTATGGGGAAAAATGGACGAGGTTGGCTTAGATTGGTTGACAAAATGTACACTATATTTTGTCTCCAATGTTTATTAAAGTTGTACAATGAGCACTTGTTGTCTCTCAAATACATAGTTACAGTTGTTGGTTAGCTAGCTAGCAACTTTTTGCCATATTAGCATAGAAGTGACATCAGTCAAAACAAGAGATGGTATCAAGAACAAGATAAAACTAGCTGAAACGAGCCACTTAAGATTCCCCACATGGCAGTTTCTTGTCATTGTTGCTAGCTATCTGGCCATCTAGAATGACAACACACGGCTTTCTGCCCCATTGAAGGGTGTGGATCGTTTGTGACGTTCTCTGCTATCCCGTCTATAGCATCAGCCTAATCTTCCCTTTACAAATGATCTTCGAAAGCACCACAGGTACAACGGTTAGACAAAAAAGTAATGTAATGGGAGTTGAATGGGTGAATGTGAAGTCACATTGTGTAGGAGAGATAAGACAACAGGGCAAGGGAGGAGAACAAACTAAAATTATAGTGTGCCAGAGCAGTCAGGAACAGTAAGATTGAGTCATAGGAGTGTAGCTCAGTTGGTAGAGCATGGTGCTTGCAACGCCAGGGTTGTGGGTTTGTTTCCCACGGGGGGCCAGTATGAAAATGTATGCACTCACTAACTGTAAGTCGCTCTGGATAAGAGCGTCTGCTAAATGACTAAAATGTAAATGTTTAATTCACGCAAAAACCTTGCTGAAAACTTTTTGTAAACACTAGTGAAAACCATTCTGTGCATTAGAAAAAACGGTTCCCCTTGCATCTCAGTCTTTGGGAATGCAATTGCTTGATATAAGTATATATGTTTTTTGCATGTCTCTTATTTCTTCCTCGTCCACTGGTAAGTCATTGAATGGATTTCAAACCATTGTAAACTCCATTGAGCGATTGGGGCGAATGACCAGTCGCCATTCTCGTGCCAGACTTGAATCCTCCTCATCCTTAGCAAGAGAGGCTTCTGTGATCCCAGCACCAGAGAGGTAAACATGCCACGTGTCCTGTGGTCCTGCTACAGCAGGGGAAGAGTTCCAGTCTCGGTCCAAGGTACACCTAACCTGAAAGTAGTGGTCTAACACTGAGAGGACAGGGTCTGGGGCTGAGGGGTCCCCACCAGCATGCCCTTCCCACTCGGACTGGAACGAGGCCATGACCCGACAGGGAGCCAGGCTAGTGGCTCTCTCCTCCAAGGTCTGTGTGAGAAATGCAGCCGTGTCATACAGCAGAGCAGAGATGTGAAAATGTATGCACTCACTAACTGTAAGTCGCTCTGGATAAGAGCGTCTGCTAAATGACTAAAATGTAATGTAAATGTAATGTGTGCAGTAGAGGACTGCTCTGCCTGCTGAAGGCCACCACTCACCCCAGGCCCGGGCAGGTAGCCCTCCAGTCTGTCCACGATGATCAGCGAAGGAGGGGCAGCAGATCCAGAGGCTGATTCATGCAAAGAGGCCACGTCCTGAAGCAAATCTTCCAAGGACCTGGGGTATGCAAAATTAATTTTCTGCAATAAAGTAATGCCAAGAATCAACAGATTTTTTTTTTTAAGTGCTTGATGTCAAGATAAGAAATAGTAATGTCAGTGCGCTAAACAACGATGAGTTCAATGGGGGGTGTTGTCTTGTGTGTTATAAAAAAAAATATTAAAAATATTAAAATATTCACTAACTGTAAGTCGCTCTGGATAACAGCGTCTGCTAAATGACTAAAATGTAAATGTAAATGTTATGTCATGTTTATCAAGGTTGTGCAAAATAACACAGCTGCTGGACCAATGCTACATTTACATTTACATTTTAGTCATTTAGCAGACGCTCTTATCCAGAGCGACTTACAGGAGCAATTAGGGTTAAGTGCCTTGCTCAAGGTTTCCCGCCACGTGGTGTCACTTCCCGTAAGACAACTTCCGCTAGGAATGACAACAACAGACAGCTGTTGTCAAGATGGCGGATGGCTATGGAGGAGAAGAGGGTCCCCTGGACGCTAAAGAAGCCGGGGATCAAATTAAATCAATTTTGAGGCGTTGTAGAGGCCGTCCCAGGCTCACGGATTCTGACCGAGCACAAAGACGTCTCGAGTCCCGCAAGAAGTATGATGTTAGGCGAGTTTATCTTGGAGAATCTCACAAGGTTTGGAGTGAGCTTCGCCGGCGAACGAGGTTGAGTGACGCTGGACTTGCCGAGTACCTAATCCTGCTCAACTCCACGTATGGGGAGAGATACCAGCAAAAATACGGAGGGTATGTTTACGAATAATACATAAAATCAGAATATCAAACTAACTAGTAACTAATATTGTTTAGGTAGCATATCCCCTCTCGTCTTTTGTTGACATTCAGATAAATGTGAATCCTTTCCCCATGCCACTTCCTTTAATCAATTGGGTTAGCTAGCTCATGCTATCAACTCAATAGTGCTTAACGTTAACACAGTATCCTCATGCAATAAAGTTACTGTCATATTTATATTCCTGGCCGCTAGGAAGACCACCCTAGACGTATGTGCAAAACTGAAAAGAGGTAAGAAAGAACAACACATTTTATCCACTTACCTATGAAGAAAGGTAGCCCTACATGAGGGATTGATTGATACATTTATGTCACTGTTGATACTTATTTTCTTACAGGGAAGAAGGAGAGAGTGTCTAGCCTTTGTAGCGTGGTGACCTGGTACCAGGATCACTCCCAGACCTGCCCACATGAACCGCAGCTCAGAGCTCTGGAACCACAACATGGATTCTCCACCTCTGCTATCTGGCAGTGTGATGCAGACCATTCATTTGTACAGCACCTCTCCTCGCCACCTAGAGGGGCCAGTGATCCTGAGATGGAGACAGAGACAGAGGAGGAAGTTGACAGGGACACTGGGACAGAGGAAACCGGAGGAATCATGACCAGGAGGAGGAGGAGAGAGACAGATGCCCACAGACAGCTCACTGGTAAGAGATACAGTACATTCAGATACTAATTTGGCTTTTAATTGTTCAGGGTCACATGTAACAGTATGGGAACCACTGATCTGACATAAACCAAGTAACCTGTATTTAAATGCATCTGTATTCTGTACACTTTCCTAGATGCAGGAGGGGATTTGGAAGTGGCCGGAGCTCTGGTGACTATCAATCAGGTGGAGCAGGCCACGGCTCTCAGCCAGCTCCCAGGGATGGAGGCCCCATCTAGGGAAACTCCACTAACGGAGCACCTCTCTGAGAACCAGTCTGTCTGGGAGATGGAGGTGGTGATGGAGGCAGGCAGACAGCAAGCCCAGGAGTCTGACAATGAGGGGACAGGTTACAATGCTGTAGGGGAGGACATCAACCCAGAGGAGGAGGCGGAGGACCTGAGAAGAGACAGAGGAGATGAAGGAGTGGGTACATCACAAGATGGCTACGAGTGTGTTGTAGTGACTGCATCCTTAACTGACAGACTGGACAAAACCGATGAGGAGGACACCACACAGACAATGTGTGACACAGTTGGTGTAGACACTCAGCCCAACCTCCATCCAGTCCCAGTCTCTTTGCAGGTGCCTGGGCAGGGGGAGCTGTTTGATTCTCAGACACTACAGACTGTGGGGACCAGCTGTGAGATACCAGACCAGCGAGGAACTCTGGAGGGTTCTCAGGTTTAAAAAAAAAACGTGTTGGGTCTAATACTCATTAGTCATTTGTCTTGGAATTTTATCACAATCAAGTATTTGTCGTCCCTGAAAGCACTGCCTTATATAGTAGTCATATTAACATGTAGCCTATCCTATGTCCCTCTCCCTGTCATTCCTAGCTGATCATCATCACTGGCCCCAGCTACGAGGCTTTGGCGTCCGAGGGCATCCAGCTCAACATGGGGGGCGGAGACGTGGAGGAGGTCACCTGCACTGTCATAGAGGGTGTGGCTTACAACCAAATGTGCCAGTCAGGGGCAGACTTTAGGACGACAGAGGAAGACTCCATCACAGGTACTGCTGGCACAGAGTATTTTAGCCTTTGCTAACACCGACAGACAATGCATTCGAATATGCTGTAATTGCTGTATATGCTTATTAAAGGATACTGACATTGACAAGAATCAATTAAGAATAGGTTGCTATTCCAATGGTTTGAGACATTTTTCTCTCAACCCCTCAGGCCTGAGTGACAAGGAGCTGCTCCAGTCCAGTGTTGAGTCTCATGGCTTGGAGCCCACCTGTGAGAGGGAGCTACAGAGGGGCCTGAGCAGGTGAGTGGCCAGCATGGAGAATTATGGGCATCACATCTGTAGAGACAAACTTGGATGGACATGCCATTTTCATTCCTGTCTTGACTTCCTCAGAGCACTTCTGTAGACTAACCACAGGCATCGCTCCCTTTTCTATTTCAGATGTAGGAGGAGCAGACGAGGTCCTGTCATCGAGGCAGACGGAATGCTCAAGATGTTCCACTGTCCGTATGAAGGCTGTAGTCAGGTCTATGTAGCCATCAGCAGCTTTCAGGTAAATAGGCTCTTTCAAGCACTCGCCACTTCAGATTTTGCCTTGATTTGGAACACCTGGACCTTGTAGTGCCATCAAGTTCAGAATAAAGGAAATAGAAATGTACATGTTGCTGTAACTACCATTTCATGCTGTGATTCATAATATGTACTTTTTGTTCTTTGTATGTTCCCTGCAGAACCATGTGAATCTGGTTCACAGGAAGGGGAGGACCAAGGTGTGCCCCCACCCTGGCTGCGGCAAGAAGTTCTATCTGTCAAACCACCTGCATCGCCACATGATCATCCACTCAGGTGGGCACACACATACAAACAACTCTAAATACTGATATACATTGGCGCATGAGCTAGTAGGAATAACTTTGTCCCCTCATTTTTCAACAAAGTTTGTCGCAGATGCCGATCTAATTCTTCATCAAACTTTGTGTAGGAGTCCGAGACTTCATCTGTGAAACGTGTGGGAAATCGTTCAAACGGAAGAATCACTTGGAGGTTCACCGGCGCACGCACACAGGAGAGACGCCCCTTCAGTGAGTGAAACACTTTGATCACTCACATGTTTTTACTCCCAGACAGTTTATTTCATTTTCTCAACACATTTTATATTTAGGTTTTGTACAATATATGCAATTTTGTCTGCCAAACAGAAATGACAATATGTTGCACTCCTAAAAACATTTTCTGCAGATTAGAATAATCTTTAATGTTTCCCCTTCGTCTTGTCTCCCTCCTCTACTTCTTCTGCAGGTGTGAGATCTGTGGGTACCAGTGTCGCCAGCGAGCATCTCTCAACTGGCACATGAAGAAACACACCCCCGAGGCCCACTACAACTTCACCTGCGAACACTGCGGCAAGAGGTTTGAAAAGCTTGACAGCGTTAAATTCCACAAGTTAAAGAGCCACCCAGACAAACAGGCAACGTGAAGGGCAGTGCTGCTGGAATGTGCATTAAATATCAACTGGCCAGGGTCAGACCAGAATGGGACTGAATCTGTCTGACAAAATAAAACAATAGAGGAAGAGTGCCCATAGAGACAGGTATGACCTTTTGGGGAAAGAGCAGCTCTTTTGAATGAACACTTAGGACATTGCTTAGTCTCCCTCCCTATAATGGGCTTTAGACCATGCTCTCAAAGCTGTGCTGGACACAGCCTTTTCAGAGCTCACAGAGGCAGCCTTGCTGTTGGTGTAGTACATTTCAGCACAGTTGTTTACATAATGTGTTGTACGCCTCTAAACCATACTGTCTCTATACCATATTATTAACATATCCATTGATTTTCTTTTCTTTTTTAAATTCATTTTTATACACTTGTCATCCACATACTTTTTTCCAACAAGTACATTAAAACTGTCATTTTTGTTAATGGTTGTGTTCTCACGTCAATACATGTACATGAACTGATGCCTACTGGTAAAATGCCAAAACTAACTTAACTTACATATTCATGGGGAAATGAAAATGTAACCTATTGAGTATTAATTGTAACAATGTACATGGATGTAAAGGACATGATGTCATGTATTCAGCAAGAAGAGTTGTGTTGTCACACAAGTGGGCTGCTTACATTGAAGTAGAGAATTGGTAATATTTTGGTCTACAGTCTTTGTCGTTGACCTGACCAAGGAGTAGTCTTTTTGAGTGAAAGTCTTGCATCATCTTTCAGGTCTGTCTATGTTGTGCTGTGTGTCTATGAACAGAGTGATGTTGTCTTGTGGTTCTAAAATGGCAAATGTAATTTAAAATCGCTAATTTATAGTCATGTTCTTTTCCTGTTTTCTGTATCACTGAAATTATCAATGTAAAATATGTGAATATGACCTAAATAGATTATGTACATATTTCTGGAAGAGACATTTGTTTGAGACAAATGTAAAATAAAAAAGGAGTACTGTATTGGAGTTTAGGATTGTCTGATGTGGCAAGGAAAGGCATAATGTGAGTGTTGACACAATGAACTGGCAAACATGTATTTTTAGTGCATGGTGGGATGAATGTAAGACACATACCAGATGTGACACCAATGGCTGGTGTGACATAAATGTTCAAAATAATTTCATTGATGTTGAGTAAGTCAAGGTACTTGAATGCTAATGCTCTAACCTGATATAAATGGTCATTAGACTTAGCTAAAATCATATACATTTACATTACATTTACGTCATTTAGCAGACGCTCTTATCCAGAGCGACTTACAAATTGGTGCATTCACCTTATGATAGTCAGTGGGACAACCACTTTTACCAATGAAATAAATAAAAACAATCTATCATTTTCTAATTTTGTAAAAAAAAAAATCTAGAGTATATTTTTAATTTTCATTTGTTTTATATACAGTTTTTTAATATTATCCCTGTAATTTATATGTTTGCCACTGAAAGAAATATCAGTCTATAATTGAATGTGTATTTGATGTTTATTCGCGCACGTCAAAAATTTATAAATGATTTGCATTAGTGAAATTTTGACTCTCATCAGAAAGATTTCTGGCTCCCAGGTGTCTTTTATACAGGTAACGAGCTGATTAGGAGCACACTCTTAAAGGGAGTGCTCCTAATCTCAGCTTGTTACCTGTATAAAAGACACCTGTCCACAGAAGCAATCAATCATTATTTATAATCAATCAGGTTCCAAACTCTCCACCATGGCCAAGCCCAAAGAGCTCTCCAAGGATTTCAGGGACAAGATTGTAGACCTACACAAGGCTGGAATGGGCTACAAGACCATCGCCAAGCAGCTTGGTGAGAAGGTGACAACAGTTGGTGCGATTATTCGCAAATGGAAGAAACACAAAATAACTGTCAATCTCCCTCGGCTTGGGGCTCCATGCAAGATCTCACCTCGTGGAGTTGCAATGATCATGAGAACGGTGAGGAATCAGCCCAGAACTACACGGGAGGATCTTGTCAATGATCTCAAGGCAGCTGGGACCATAGTCACCAAGAAAACAATTGGTAACACACTACGCCGTGAAGGACTGAAATCCTGCAGCGCCCGCAAGGTCCTCCTGCTCAAGAAAGCACATATACAGGGCCGTCTGAAGTTTGCCAATGAACATCTGAATGATTCAGAGGAGAACTGGGTGAAAGTGTTGTGGTCAGATGAGACCAAAATCGAGCTCTTTGGCATCAACTCAACTCGCCGTGTTTGGAGGAGGAGGAATGCTGCATATGACCCCAAGAACACCATCCCCACTGTCAAACATGGAGGTGGAAACATTATGCTTTGGGGACAGGACAACTTCACCGCATCAAAGGGACGATGGACGGGGCCATATACCGTCAAATCTTGGGTGAGAACCTCCTTCCCTCAGCCAGGGCATTGAAAATGGGTCGTGGATGGGTTTTCCAGCATGACAATGACCCAAAACACATGGCCAAGTCAACAAAGGAGTGGCTCAAGAAGAAGCACATTAAGGTCCTGGAGTGGCCTAGCCAGTCTCCAGACCTTAATCACATAGAAAATCTGTGGAGGGAGCTGAAGGTTCGAGTTGCCAAACGTCAGCCTCGAAACCTTTATGACTTGGAGAAGATCTGCAAAGAGGAGTGGAACAAAATCCCTCCTGAGATGTGTGCAAACCTGGTGACCAACTACAAGAAACATCTGACCTCTGTGATTGCCAACAAGGGTTTTGCCACCAAGTACTAAGTAATGTTTTGCAGAGGGGTCAAATACTTATTTCCCTCATTAAAATGCAAATACATTTATAACATTTTTGACATGCATTTTTCTGGATTTTTTTGTTGTTATTCTGTCTCTCACTGTTCAAATAAACCTACCATTAAAATTATAGACTGATCATGTCTTTGTCAGTGGGCAAACGTACAAAATCAGCAGGGGATCAAATACTTTTTTCCCTCACTGTATATATGTTTTTTATTTATTTAATATTATTATTTTATTTATTTATTTTTGTGGGGGTGGGGTGGGGGGGTAGAAGGATTACTTTTATACTATCCCAGGTATTCCTTAAAGAGGTAGGGTTTCAAGTGTCCGGAAGGTGGTCAGTGACTCCGTTGTCCTGGCGTCATGAGGGAGCTTGTTCCACCATTGGGGTGCCAGAGCAGCGAACAGTTTTGACTGGGCTGAGCGGGAACTGTGCTTCCGCAGAGGTAGGGGGACCAGCAGGCCAGAGGTGGAAGAACGCAATGCCCTCGTTTGGGTGTAGGGACTGATCAGAGCCTGAAGGTAAGGAGGTGCCGTTCCCCTCACAGCTCCGTAGGCAAGCACCATGGTCTTGTAGCAGATGCGAGCATCAACTGGAAGCCAGTGGAGTGTGCGGAGGAGCGGGGTGACTTCAGAGAACTTGGGAAGGTTGAACACCAGACGGGCTGCAGCGTTCTGGATGAGTTGTAGGGGTTTAATGGCACAGGCAGAGAACCCAGCCAACAACCGCAATACTGTATTAAAGTAACTGTCCAGTATTTCCAGATTTCTATTAAGTATGACCGAAAGGGTAATTAATTACAATATGAGTCAAATAGTTTTACTTCCAATGTATTTTAATTAAGTATGTTAAAATGCAGCTTTTCTGTGTTGGAATGGTGTGGGCGTACCCCAACAACAGAATGGTGTTGGGCATATACCGGTCGTAAAAAATATTCATGAGTAGACCGCTGATTGGGCAGCTCATCCTCCTCAGTAGGATGACATCATGCTCTTTGAGGAAATAGTAAGCATTTTTGAAACCGTCTGTTTGAGATACAAGTTTGAGGTGTTTTTTAAAAAGTGTTTTTTCTCCAATTTAAGCTTTGGCCACATACGAGTATAGGATGTCAACAACATTATTTGGGAGTCCCATAGGGCGGCGCACAATTGGCAGAGCGTCGTCCAGGTTAGGGGATGATTTGGCCGGGGGGGCTTTACTTGGCTCATCGCGCTCTAGCAACTCCTTGTGGTGGTCCGGGCACCTGGTCGTCAGTTGAACGGTGTTTCCTCCAACACATTGGTGCAGCTGGCTTCTGGGTTAAGTGAGCGGGTGTTAAGAAGCGCGGCTTGGCGGGTCATGTTTCGGAGGACGCATGACTCAACCGTCGCCTCTCCCGAGCCTGTTGGGGAGATGCAGCGATGAGACAAGATCGTAATCACGAAAAAGGGGGGTTACATTAAACAAATATATATATACACTGCTTTAAAAAATAAAGGGAACACTAAAATAACACATCCTAGATCTGAACGAATGAAATAATCTTATTAAATACTTTTTTCTTTACATAGTTGAATGTGCTAACAACAAAATCACACAAAAATTATCAATGGAAATCAAATTTATCAACCCATGGAGGTCTGGATTTGGAGTCACCCTCAATTAAAAAACCACACTACAGGCTGATCCAACTTTTATGTAATGTCCTTAAAACAAGTCAAAATGAGGCTCAGTAGTGTGTGTGGCCTCCACGTGCCTGTATGACCTCCCTACAACGCCTGGGCATGCTCCTGATGAGGTGGTGGATGGTCTCCTGAGGGATCTCCTCCCAGACCTGGACTAAAGCATCCGCCAACTCCTGGACAGTCTGTGGTGCAACGTGGCGTTGGTGGATGGAGCGAGACATGATGTCCCAGATGTGCTCAATTGGATTCAGGTCTGGGGAACGGGCGGGCCAGTCCATAGCATCAATGCCTTCCTCTTGCAGGAACTGCTGACACACTCCAGCCACATGAGGTCTAGCATTGTCTTGCATTAGGAGGAACCAAGGGCCAACCGCACCAGCATATGGTCTCACAAGGGGTCTGAGGATCTCATCTCGGTACCTACTGGCAGTCAGGCTACCTCTGGCGAGCACATGGAGGGCTGTGCGGCCCCCCAAAGAAATGCCACCCCACACCATGACTGACCCACCGCCAAACCGGTCATGCTGGAGGATGTTGCAGGCAGCAGAACGTTCTCCACGGCGTCTCCAGACTCTGTCACGTCTGTCACATGTGCTCAGTGTGAACCTGCTTTCATCTGTGAAGAGCACAGGGCGCCAGTGGCGAATTTGCCAATCTTGGTGTTCTCTGGCGGAGGTAGCAGTCCTGCTGCTGGGTTGTTGCCCTCCTACGGCCTCCTCCACGTCTCCTGATGTACTGGCCTGTCTCCTGGTAGCGCCTCCATGCTCTGGACACTACGCTGACAGACACAGCAAACGTTCTTGCCACAGCTCGCGTTGATGTGCCATCCTGGATGAGCTGCACTACCTGAGCCACTTGTGTGGGTTGTAGACTCCGTCTCATGCTACCACTAAACGTGACCAAAACATCAGCCAGGAAGCATAGGAACTGAGAAGTGGTCTGTGGTCACCACCTGCAAAACCAGTCCTTTATTGGGGGTGTCTTGCTAATTGCCTATAATTTCCACCTGTTGTCTATTCCATTTGCACAACAGCATGTGAAATCTATTGTCAATCAATGTTGCTTCCTAAGTGGACAGTTTGATTTCACAGAAGTGTGATTGACTTGGAGTTAGATTGTGTTGTTTAAGTGTTCCCTTTATTTTTTTGAGCAGTGTATGTACAAATAAAGTGTGTGTCATAGGAAGACTTATGAGGTCAAAGTCTGAGCTAATTTTTAAGCGAGAGAAACATTCCGGCTGATTAATTATCTTATGTCTATAAAATAATGACTTCAATGGAACTCACATAGTCATGTGAAAAATTAAATCAGGTCCTATAGTATATACTATTTTCTTTAAAATATATAGATATATATTCCTTCTCTGCTTACATACCATTCACATGTCTCCAAAATCCTACTTGAATATACAGTGATGCCACAGGTAAAAATGGTGATAGAAGAATGTGCTTATGCCTGTGTGTATGTAGCTTTAACATTGCTGTGACACTCCCTCAGGTGGGACTTCTACTCCACAGGGAAGTGAGCTCTTTGCCTCTGAAACCTGCCTCACTCCCACCTGTTTTGCCTCAGCTCTCCCCTTCCCTCCCTCCCTGTTTATAACCAACCTGCAGTCACGGAGAAGCACAGGAACAGAACGAGAGAGAGAGTGTGTGTAGGAGAGAGAAAAACGCAATACAGGACACTCTCCGAGGACACGGTAAATCAGCCAGTCTACTGACTCCCACACTCCTGTAAACAGCCTCCATCACCTCAGGGAAGGTAAGCCTCAGACTCCCTCTCTTTCTCTCTACGTCTCAACCACAGGAGGTTGGTGGCACCTTAATTGGGGAGGACAGCCTCGTGGTAATGGCTGGAGCAGAATCAGTGGAATGGTATCAAATACATCAAACACATGGTTTGATGCCATTCCATTGGATCCGTTCTAGCCATTATTATGAGCCGTCCTCCCCTCAACAGCCTCCACTGGTCTCAACGTAACCTGTTGTACCACTCCATTGTAAGGTAGGCTATTGTAAGTGAGAATAATAATAATAATAATAATAATAATATGCCATTTAGCAGACGCTTTTATCCAAAGCGACTTACAGTCATACATTTTTGTGTATGGGTGGTCCCGGGGATCGAACCCACTACAAGGGTTGACTCATCTGGTTGTTGAAAATGTAGTTATTTGGTTTTGTGTTTTATATTCTCCTGTAGTCAGGGGCAGTGTCTATACTTTATTTCCTCTAGTCGTTAATTTGCATGTTTGTCAACAAACATTGGCTATCTTGATCATCATTCCGGGAAATGTTTGTCACCAGGTGTGTCCCCACTGGCTTTCCTAGTGGATGAATTCATTATCCCAGTCTTCATGACTGAATACCACATTATTCCTAACATGATATCAACAAAGCTATGCCACTCACTCTGTCATATTATTCAGCAGCTTAAAGAACACTTTCCAGGAAATTCACCTGATCATTGTAGCTATTGATTTCGTTTTTAGGTTTTTCTTGTCTAAATTATGTTCTTCACATTGGGATTGTGGGTTATTTAGCTGCTTTGTGTTTATTGCATTTGAATTTTCAAAGCATGTAAAGTCCTAAGGGCCCTAGCTACTGTATATTATCCTCATCTTCGTGTAACAGTGTCAATTTATTTTTCAAAACATGAAAGCACCAATATAATGTGTCGACTCATTACAATACAGTGCCCTGAGGTTGTAATTCACAGTCTAGCTCAAAATGGCAGTCCTCAACATTTCTGTTGGTGTCTTTGTACTCTATGTTCATGGCTCCTGGCTGGGATGTTTTGTTAGTCATTTGCATGTGACTGTGGTTGTTAATACATCACCAGGCCAACTATGGCCACTGCTGTTGCCTATGGCTTTGTGAAGGCGGAAGTTGAGTGGCCACTTGCAAGAAAAACTCTGGGAATGAAAGGGGGAAAACCAACTCAAGATATGTTGCTATGCGCCCACTGGCCCCCTTCATATGATTAACCTGATGCTCATGGCTAAACATTGACACAGTGATAAACATCCTGACGTTTAGCATCCATCTCTCAGTACTTGTACTGTATGCCATTTCACTTTCTAAGTACTCTATCTGGGACCGTATAAGATAAACACACAATTATGAATACTGTAATCATAAAATCCCAAAGCATGTGACACACTTGTCAATCAGAAACTCCCTGACAGAGTTCCCTGTCACACTACTGGTGCTACTGCCACAGAGTGCTATTGTTTTGTTATTGCCGTTATTAAGAATAAGATACAGTACAAACCAGTTGTCGTTTAGTCACTCAATCACTGTTCCCATCCTATGGGGTCAAATGCAGTCAGACACACTAGGGACAGACAGTCCTAAACGCACACAGCGGTAAAGGGCACCACATGGGGTCATAAAACAGAGAAGGATGAGATGATCCACAGATGGTTTAACTAGCAAAATGTGACAGGTCATAAACCTGCAATGTGTCTGTGTGTGTGTAATGGGCTCCTGTGTTTAATAGGCCCCCGATTGACACTGAGGGCGAGGAAGATAAAGTTCCTTACAACTTCCTTGTACAGTCTGGACAGGTGATGGACACTGTTCTCATCTGAAGAGCAGACCATGTCCAACATTTTGATAGTTTTCTTGTAATTAGATGTCTTTTGCATTGAAAATGTAGTGGCCCCAGGTGAAGGAGGGTTTTCAGACATGGAATTATGGTCTGCCTCTTTGTAGCATTTTAATCTATTTTCATAACACTGATCATCCTTTTATTTGTTTAGGGGCCCATTTATATGAAAATACAGTGGGACATGCTGCCTTGTCATTGCCTTTGGACTTTCCTTAATTCTAAAGCAAAGGCTCACTTAACTCTCATTGGTGTTGGGAAAGTGGACTGTACAGTAAATGTCATATGACATTAGTAAAAAAAAAAGCAAGGGCTCTCTTGACTGTTCTAGGATGATATGGCGATAGGGAGGATAAGTTAAGTGGCTGGTGTTTTTCCCCACTCCTTCCCTCCCACGTCTTACTGTAGATGACAAAGGGCTGGTTTCCTGGTAACAAGTCAGAGACGGCAAACAGCATCAAGGAGTGTGTAGAATTGTTAATCCGTCACCTAATTAGCCAGACATAACAATTAATTTCAAATGACACGGAACAACTCTAAAGTTGTAAAGAAACGCTTTGTCTTTGTTGTTTGACAGAATTTGTTTGCTTCCTTAGTGACTGATTCTGTGTCCACAAAACCATAACTGTCACCTTCCAATTTCATTCAAAATTTGTCAAATGTTTATTCAGGAAATGCAGAAAGGTTCCTGGTGTAAGTTTGCAAGATAAGATTGTGGCCAAAACCCTCAACATACAATTTCCATAATGTCATTGATAAATAACAAGGTAAGAAGTACATAATTTAGCTGTCATGTTAAGATGGTACTTCACCATTTAATTAAAGAGAACCTTTGCTCATTATGCTTCCTCCTCTAACCAGGCCTATAGACAGCAGGCTATAGACATAGGCAGTAGATTTAGTTCAGACATTTGACCTCTGATCTCATCTTAATGATTCAAAGTCCCATATAATTTGTAAACATTCTCATCATTACCATAGATGATTAATCATAACAATGTTCCCTTTCTCTCCCTTTTCCTCTTCTTTTCTTCCAGGCAGAAGAATTCATCAAGAATGGGTTGCTTTGGATTTCTCAAAGTCATGATGTTTGCCTTCAATGGCATCATCTTTGTAAGTTGGAGATGTTTTCGTCTTTCTGAGTAAACTATTGATGATAATAGCGATGGAGTTAATTTATGCTTCACAATAATGAATATGCAGGCACTCAAAACACTCCTTATCGCTCCTTATCACTTATCACTCCTTATCCCTTATTCTGTGTCCCATAAAAACATTATCTAAACTGCAATGTGAAAAAGTTATGAGAACATGAAACAAAAGGATAGACATGACATTTATCGTGGTTTTACTACTTTTTATGACACAGACATGTCATTTTGGACCATTTTATAGAGTGTGAAAGAAGAAAATGTTAGAGTTGACGCAAAGATGAGGCAAAAAAATACATAAATAAGATTAGGCACAGAGTATAATAGTGTGATGTGCTGCAAGGCAAATACAGCATGAATGTCAGAGAATGCGAAGGAGCTATTAAATAAAAAAATATATAGTGGGGGAAAAAAGTATTTAGTCAGCCACCAATTGTGCAAGTTCTCCCACTTAAAAAGATGAAAATTACAGGCCTCTCTCATCATAGGTACACGTCAACTATGACAGACAAATTGAGAATTTTCTTTCCAGAAAATCACATTGTAGGATTTTTTATGATTTTATTTGCAAATTATGGTGGAAAATAAGTATTTGGTCACCTACAAACAAGCAAGACTTCTGGCTCTCACAGACCTGTAACTTCTTCTTTAAGAGGCTCCTCTGTCCTCCACTCGTTACCTGTATTAATGGCACCTGTTTGAACTTGTTATCAGTATAAAAGACACCTGTCCACAACCTCAAACAGTCACACTCCAAACTCCACTATGGCCAAGACCAAAGAGCTGTCAAAGGACACCACAAACAAAATTGTAGACCTGCACCAGGCTGGGAAGACTGAATCTGCAATAGGTAAGCAGCTTGTGTCATGAATTTCTATCTCTAATTCAACCTAAGCTTGAATCATTACCAGAGGTTGTAAGGCTCTGGTTTTAATCATAAATGATTCAAGGTCCACAACCAGCAAGAATGATCTGTATTTTTATTCATGGAGAGCTCTGGCGCCAAAACCCATACACTCCTGTTTTATACCCCTTGACACACAAAGGCACTTTGCTCCGCCCACCTTTAGGAGGCTTTTTTTAACCCGTTTTCTCAGTCCCCTTCACCCTGGAATGTTTAGTCCCACCCCCTCTGCTAGTGGGTTGCCACTACATTATAACTCTAACACCGTTCACACATTTATACTGTATTTGGGGTGAAATCCTTTAGTCATTATTCTTAAAATACAAATTAATCTAACAGCTTGGTTTGAAGAAATCAACTGTGGGAGCAATTATTAGGAAATGGAAGACATACAAGACCACTGATAATCTCCCTCGATCTGGGGCTCCACGTAAGATCTCACCTCATGGGGTCAAAATGATCACAAGAACGGTGAGTAAAAATCCCAGAACCACACGGGGGGACCTAGTGAATGACCTGCAGAGAGCTGGGACCAAAGTAACAAAGCCTACCATCAGTAACACACTACGCCGCCAGGGACTCAAATCCTGCAGTGCCAGACGTGTCCCCCTGCTTAAGCCAGTACATGTCCAGGCCCGTCTGAAGTTTGCTAGAGTGCATTTGGATGATCCAGAAGAGGATTGGGAGAATGTCAGATGAAACCAAAATAGAACTTTTTGGTCAAAACTCAACTTGTCGTGTTTGGAGGACAAAGAATGCTGAGTTGCATCCAAAGAACACCATACCTACTGTGAAGCATGGGGGTGGAAACATCATGCTTTGGGGCTGTTTTTCTGCAAAGGGACCAGGACGACTGATCCGTGTAAAGGAAAGAATGAATGGGGCCATGTATCGTGAGATTTTGAGTGAAAACCTCCTTCCATCAGCAAGGGCATTGAAGATGAAACGTGGCTGGGTCTTTCAGCATGACAATAATCTCAAACACACCGCCCGGGCAACAAAGGAGTGGCTTCGTAAGAAGCATTTCAAGGTCCTGGAGTGGCCTAGCCAGTCTCCAGATCTCAACCCCATAGAAAATCTTTGGAGGGAGTTGAAAGTCAGTGTTGCCCACCATACCTACTGCTTCACAGTAGGTATGGTGTTCTTTGGATGCAGCTCAGCATTCTTTGTCCTCCAAACACGACGAGTTGAGTTTTTACCAAAAAGTTCTATTTTGGTTTCATCTGACCATATGACATTCTCCCAATCCTCTTCTGGATCATCCAAATGCACTCTAGCAAACTTCAGACAGGCCTGGACATGTACTGGCTTAAGCAGGGGGACACTGCAGGATTTGAGTCCCTGGCGGCGTAGTGTGTTACTGATGGTAGGCTTTGTTACTTTGGTCCCAGCTCTCTGCAGGTCATTCACTAGGTCCCCCCGTGTGGTTCTGGGATTTTTGCTCACCGTTCTTGTGATCATTTTGACCCCACGGGGTGAGATCTTGCGTGGAGCCCCAGATCGAGGGAGATTATCAGTGGTCTTGTATGTCTTCCATTTCCTAATAATTGCTCCCACAGTTGATTTCTTCGAACCAAGCTGCTTACCTATTGCAGATTCAGTCTTCCCAGCCTGGTGCAGGTCTACAATTTTGTTTCTGGTGTCCTTTGACAGCTCTTTGGTCTTGGCCATAGTGGAGTTTGGAGTGTGACTGTTTGAGGTTGTGGACAGGTGTCTTTTATACTGATAACAAGTTCAAACAGGTGCCATTAATACAGGTAACGAGTGGAGTAGGGCGGCAGGTAGCTTAGTGGGTAAGAGCGTTGTGCCAGTAACCGAAAGGTCGCTGGTTCTAATCCCCGAGCCGACTAGGTGAAAAATCTGTCGATGTGCCCTTAAGCAAGGCACTTAACCCTAATTGCTCCTGTAAGTCGCTCTGGATAAGAGCGTCTGCTAAATGACTAAAAAATGTAAAAAAAAAAAAAAATGGAGGACAGAGGAGCCTCTTAAAGAAGAAGTTACAGGTCTGTGAGAGCCAGAAATCTTGCTTGTTTGTAGGTGACCAAATACTTATTTTCCACCATAATTTGCAAATAAATTCATAAAAAATCCTACAATGTGATTTTCTGGATTTCTTTTCCTCAATTTGTCTGTCATAGTTGACGTGTACCTATGATGAAAATTACAGGCCTCTCTCATCTTTTTAAGTGGGAGAACTTGCACAATTGGTGGCTGACTAAATACTTTTTTTCCCCCACTGTATACACTACCGTTAAAAGGTTGGGGTCACTTAGAAATGTCCTTGTATTCGAAAGATTAGCAATTTTTTTTCATTAAATAACATAAAATTGATCAGAAATACAGTGTAGACATTGTTAATGTTATGTATGGCTATTGTAACTGGAAACGGCTGATTTTTTTATTTTTATATCTACATAGGCGTACAGAGGCCCATTATCAGCAACCATCAGTCCTGTGTTCCAATGGCATGTTGTGTTTGCTAATCCAAGTTTATCATTTTAAAAGGCTAATTGATCATTAGAAAACTATTTTGCAATTATGTTAGCACAGCTGAAAACTGTTGTGCTGATTAAAGAAGCAATAAAACTGGCCTTCTTGAGACTAGTTGAGTATCTGGAGCATCAGCAATTGTGGGTTCCATTACAGGCTCAAAATGGCCAGAAACAAATAACTTTCTTCTGAAACTCGTCAGTCTATTCTTGTTCTGAGAAATGAAGGCTATTCCATGCGAGAAATTGCCAAGAAACTGAAGATCTCGTACAACGCTGTGTACTACTCCCTTCACAGAACAGCGCAAACTGGCTCTAACCAGAATAGAAAAAGGAGTGGTAGGCCCCGGTGCACAACTGAGCAAGAGGACAAATACATTAGAGTGTCTAGTTTGAGAAACAGACGCCTCACAGGTCCTCAACTGGCAGCTTCATTAAATAGTACCCGCAAAACACCAGTCTCAAAGTCAACAGTGAAGAGGCAACTCCGGGATGCTGACCTTCTAGGCAGAGTTGCAAAGAAAAAGCCATATCTCAGACTGGCCAATAAAAAGAAAAGATTAAGATGGGCAGTCTGAGATATGGTAGGAAGAAACACACCTGTCTATATAAGGTCCCACAGTTGACAGTGCATGTCAGAGCAGAAACCTTACCATGAAGTCCAAGGAACTCTCCGAGATAGAATTTTGATGAGGCATATATCTGGGGAAGGGTATAAAATAATTTCTAGAGTGTTGAAAGTTTCCAAGAGCACAGTCGTCTCCATAAATATGGAACTACCCAGACTCTGCCTAGAGCTGGCCGTCCAACCAAACTGAGCAACCGGGCAAGGACCTTGGTCAGGAAGGTGACCAAGAACCCAATGACCACTCTGACAGAACTACAGAATGTAATTATTTGGCCTGAATGCAAAGCACTATGTCTGAAGAAAGCCAGGCACCGCTCATCATCCGTCTAACACCATCCCTATCTAACACCATCCCTACCGTGAAGCATGGTGGTGGCAGCTTTATGCTATGGGGATGCTTTTCAGCGGCAGGGACTGGGAGACTGGTATGGATAGAGGGAACAATAAATGGAGCCTAATACAGGCAAATCCTTAATGAGAACCGGCTTCAGAGTGCAAACGACCTTAGACTGGGGTGAAGATTTACTTTCCAACAGGACCATGACTCCAAGCATACACCCAAAGCAACGCTGGAATGGCTTCAGAACAAGAATATTAAAGTCATTGAGGGGCCCAGCCAAAGCCCAGACTTGAATCCAATTGAAAATCTGTAGAAAGACCTGAAAATTCCAGTTCACCGCCGCTCCCCATCTAATTTAACAGAGCTTGAGAAAATCTGCAAGGAAGAATGGGAGAAAATCCCCAAATCCAGATGTGCAAAGCTGATAGACATACACTGACTCAAAGCTGTAATCGCCGCCAAAGGTGCTTCTACAAAGTATTGACTCAAGAGTGTGAATACTTATGTACAGTAAATGGGATTTCTGTATTTCATTTTCAAGGAATGTGCTAACATTTCTAAAAACATGTTTTCACTTTGTCATTATGGGGTATTGTGTGTGTGTGTGTGTGTGTGTGTGTGTAGATGGGTGAGGGGAAAAATCAATTTAATCCATTTTGAATTCAGGCTGTAACACAACCAAATGTGGAATAAGTCAAGGGGTATGAATACTTTCAGAAGGCACTGTATGTGCATGTTAGGTAAGACAAAGGGCAGCAGTTGATGTGGTCTTCATTGAATGAATGGAAACCACCCAACAATGCTATGCTCTCTTCCCCCAGTTGGCGGGCGCTGCCATCCTGGGCGTGGGGATCTGGGTGAAGGTGGACAGCGGCTCCATCCTGGGGTTCCTCCAGGGGATAGAAGACGCTCCGGCGGAGATGAGCCAGATCCTCAACGTGGGCTACCTGTTGATTGCTGTGGGGGCAGTGCTGCTGGTCATAGGCTTCCTGGGCTGCTGTGGCGCTATGAAGGAGAGCAGGTGTATGCTGCTCCTGGTAGGTCACCTCAAACCTGAGCTATTCAGTATATGTTGTCACCAGTGTAATGTATACTGACTCAGTCAACAAGCTTGATTGTCAAGCTCCTCATATCTCCTTTAAGGATTTTCCACAGTAGAGTAGGTAGCTACACAGAACTAAAATATAAACTGAACAATTTCAAAGATTTTACTGAGTTACAGTTCATATAAGGAAATCAGTCAATTGAAATAAATAAATTAAGCCCTAATCTATGGATTTCACATGACTGGTCACAGATACCTTTAAAAAAAAGTAGGGGCGTGGATCAGAAAACCAGTCAGTATCTGGTGTGACCACCATTTTGCCTCATGCAGGGCGACAACTACTTTGCATATTATTATTATTATATATTTATATTTTTTTGTACCCCTTTTTTCTCCCTAATTTCATGATATCCAATTGGTAGTTACAGTCTTGTCCCATCGCTGCAACTCCTGTACAGACTCGGGAGAGGCGAAGGTCGTGAGCCATGCGTCCTCCGAAACACGACCCGCCAAGCCGCACTGCTTCTTGACACACTGCTCGCTTAACCCGTAAGCCAGCCACACCAATGTGTCGGAGGAAACACTGTACAGCTGGTGACCACACTGTACAGCTGGTGAAGTCATTGTGCATGCGCCCGGCCACCACAAGGAGTTGCTAGAGCGCGATGGGACAAGGACATCCCAGCCGGCCAAACCCTCCCCTAACCTGGACGACGCTGGGTTAATTGTGCGCCGCCTCATGGGTCTCCAGGTCGCGGCCGGCTGCGACACAGCGCGAGATCGAACCCGGATCTGTAGTGACGCCTCTAGCACTGCGATGCAGTACCTTCGACCGCTGCTCCACTCAGGAGGCCCTTCCTTCGCATAGAGTTGATCAGGCTGTTGAATGTGGCCTGTGGAATGATGTCCCATGCCTCTTAAATGGCTGTGCGAAGTTGCTGGATATTGGCGGGAACTGGAACAAGCTGTCGTAAACATCAATCCAGAGCATCCCAAACATATTTAATGGGTGACATGTCTAGTGAGTATGCAGGCCATGGAAGAACTGGGACATTTTCAGCTTCCAGTAATTGTGTACAGATCCTTGCGACATATGGCTGTGCATGAGGTAATGGTGGCGGATGAATGGCACGACAATGGGCCTCAGGATCTCGTCACGGTATCTCTGTGCATTCAAATTGCCATCAATAAAATGCAATTGTGTTTGTTGTCGGTAGTTTATGCCTGCCCATACCATAACCCCACCGCCACCATGGGGCACTCTGTTCACAACATTGACATCAGCAAACCGCTCGCCCACACGACGCCATCTGCCCGGTACAGTTGAAACCGGGATTCATCCGTGAAGAGCACACTTCTCCAGCATGCCAGTGGCCATTGAAGGTGAGCATTTACCCACTGAAGTTGGTTATGACGCCGTACTGCAGTCAGGTCAAGACCCTTGTGAGGATGACGAGCACGCAGATGCACTTCCCTGAGACTGTTTCTGACAATTTGTGCAGAAATTCTTTGGTTGTGCAAACCCACAGTTTCATCAGCTGTCCGGGTGGCTGGTCTTAGACAATCCCGCAGGTGAAGAAGCCAGAAGTGGAGGTCCTGGGCTGGCGTGGTTACACGTGGTCTGCGGTTGTGAGGCCGTTTGGACGTACTGCCAAATTCTCTAAAACAACGTTGGAGGCGGCTTATGGTAGAGAAATTAACATTACATTCTCTGGCAACAGCTCTGGTGGACATTCCTGCTATCAGCATGCCAATTGCACGCTCCCTCAAAACTTGAGACATCTGTGGCATTGTGTTGCGTGACAACTGCACAACTGTCCCCAGCACAAAGTGCACCTGTGTAATGATCGTGCTGTTTAATCAGTTTCTTGATATGCCACACCTGTCAGGTGGATGGATTATCTTAGGAAAGGAGAAATGCTCACTAACAGGGATGTAAACAAATTTCTGCACAAAATTTGAGAGAAATAAGCTTTTTGTGCTTATGGGTCATTTCTGGGATCTTTTTATTTCAGCTCATGAAACATGGCACCAACACTTTACATGTTGTGTTTATATTTTTGTTCAGTATGTATCAAATGTGTGTAAATACACTGTAAACAGTTTTCTCAGTCAATCTCTCAATCTCTCTTCCTTACGGTCTCATTTTCCTCTTTTTCTAGTTCTTTGTGATCGTGTTGGTGGTGTTCATCGCAGAGGTGGCTGGAGCAGTGGTGATCCTGGTATTTAAACCCTTGGTAAGCGTACATAGAGAGCCCATTCACTCACCTCATATTGCTAAAGGGGGGTAAGGACTCTGTGGAGAATTTGATGACACTCTTAGAAAGGTGCTATCGAGAACCTAAAAGGGTTATTTGGCTGTCCCCATAGGAGAACCCTTTGATTAACCCTTTTTGGTTCCAGGTAGAACTCTTTTGGGTTCCATGAGAACCCTTTCCACAGAAGATTCTACATGGAACCCAAAAGGGTTCTAACTGGAACTCTACCTGGAACCAAAAAGGGTTCTCCTATGGGGACAGCCGAATAACCCTTTTGGAACCCTTTTTCTAAGAGTGTGTGATTTGTGTTATGTCTTTCAGGCAGGTGAGTTGATTGAGAAACTGGGCACCAAAGCGGTTCAGAACATTAGGAAGGACTATGGAGCAAATTCAGACGTCACCGCTCTCTGGAATGCTACTATGGATACGGTACTTTACAATATCCTGCCGGACTGTTTTAATACCTTGGAAATAACATATTAGGCCTACAAATAATGTCTCAAATAACATTATTATGTCATTATATTTGCCTGTGTATTAGAAATCTTTCAGTTTTGTCAATATAATTTTTCTAATATGAACTGTCTCTGTGTCCACTCTAGCTGAAGTGCTGTGGATTCTATAACTATACAGACTTCACTGGCTCTCCATTTGAAAAAGACACCCATCTCTATCCTCAACAGTGCTGCCACAGTGCTTTTTCCAGCTTTTGTAATGTAGTCAGTGCGGGTCCAAACTTGGTACGAGCTCTGAACTCATCACCTCAACAAGTTAATCACACTCCATCCATACTCAAACTCATCAATGGAAGGCCCATTTAGGAATGTAACACACTTTACAGTTGGACATCCAGTGGCCTCGCCTGTCTAAATAACTGTATTACATTTGTGTGTCCCCACAGACAATCACCGGCTGCTTCCAAAGTTTAAGCAACTGATTGATCAAAACAGTATTGGCATTGTGGCAGTGGCATTGGGAATCGCTGTCCTTGAGGTACTGTTGACTCCTTCCCTTCCTCAGTCAATTTCTATCAAACATAGCAAGGTCACATTCTCATTGTTTTGATCTTTTTTTAAATACCACAAATGTAGATGCGTTGATGCAAATGATATGCAAATTCAACAAAAAGAATGTGATGTGTTCAGTTTCGCACAGTGGGCTTTGTTTAAAAGTTTTGCATAACCTAAGCATTTATTTACTGTTCCTGTTTCCCTAGATATTGGCGATGGTTGTCTCCATGACTTTGTACTGCATAATAGGCTCAAAGATTGACTGAAAACCAATGGAGGAGGGAGGGCCATAGAGACATCTGCCTGGATGGCATCTCTGGACCCTCCTTAGGACAACTATGGGGATGGATGCATAACAATCTCTGAAATCACCAAGGCTGAAGAAAAATCTAAGGAAGCTTTGTGATAAGGAGAGGCACCCTACCATTGAACTGAGCCAGCTTAAATTAAATCCTGTACAAGATTATTGGATATGGGAAAATGTCTATTTGTATTGAAATCTTGTACTGTATACATATTTCACCTGAAAATGATGCTGTCTTACATTTAGATTGAAGCAATGCAATGTGTCCTATGTCCATTCCACTCTGCACAGTATCATCAAGGTTTATATTAAAATAACATTATCAATTCACTGTCAGGAAATATATATATGTGCCACTTTTTATTATTTTATTAATTGATTTTCTACAGATGCCACATGCTCTGGAGAATGAATAAAAAGGTTGCAACTTGCAACACTCTGAAAATAAGTTTAACCTCTTAAGGATCTGACCCTTTTTTTCAATTTTCGCTTAAAATGACATACCCAAATCTAATTGCCTGTAGCTCAGGACCTGAAGCAAGGATATGCATATTCTTTATACCATTTGAAAGGAAATACTTTGAAGTTTGTGGAAATGTGAAATTAATGTAGGAGAATATAACACATTAGATCTGGTAAAATATAATACAAACAAAAAAACATGCTGTTGGGACTCTGCTGTTGGGACAGCTTTATGTGGGCCCTAACAGTTTGTGGGCACCGTTTGTCACCATTATAGTGCAATTCATGTATTGTTTAGTGTTGTGTAATGGCTTTGCTGGCATGCATCCCACTTCTATTTTGTTTTGGTTTGGCCCACCAAGATTTACATGCTAAAATCGCCACTGGCTACTGGAGATTCTTTCTTTAGTGTCTGTCTGTTCAGAAAGGATGCAAAACGGAGATTCACAACAGCACGGAGTTGCTAAACCCAGAGGCACAACATCGCGAGACTTCCGGGAACGCTTGCGAAACAGACCAAACCGACCAGGCCGGTGTTTGTGGTTCAAAAAGTCAATGAGAGAAGTGAAATCTAAAGGCACAACCTAAATTCGAGATGTTATTACTCCAACCTCGTGAAAGTGACGACAAACTGACACGTTTTCATTTTCGCAAAAAAAAACTTTATATCGAAGGAGTGCATTTGATTTGAAGGACTGCACATGCGCAGTTCGGTGTGAGACGACAGGTAGACCCGATGACATATTTCTACGCAAGAGTTTAGCTAGCCAACGTCGCCATGACGTCGCCATGACATCGTCTACAAGTGTGATCGGGGATTTCTATTGGAGAAGCAGTTTTAGACTCTCTTCATACTGTGCTGTCTTTGACCGAAGTGTGTGACTGGACCGAGAACATGACACCTGTTGGCCAGGCAGACACAGACAGTTGGCAGCAAGTAGGCCTTAATAGCAGTAGGCCTAAATCGTCTGGACCTATTAAAAGTAAGGACAGACGGTCCTTATTTTTTCATGTGACCATTTTGCCTATGCTAGCTAATGCTAACTTTAGCTAGCTAATTTAACTATAACGTCTAAACATAGAGGGTTGACTAGTTAATTTTGGGCATGTTAAAGGAACATGTTGGCTAACGTTAGCTAGCTAAATTAGCTACCTACCAGTAGCAAGCGATCCATGGTCAGGTCACTAACGTTAGCTAGCTACAGTACCTAGTCTAGCTAGGCTAATAGCTAGCTTGCCGCGTTAGCAATCTAACCTAGCCACCTCGAACTTGATCGTTAATGTTAGTAATTTATTAAATCAAATCAAATCAAATTTTATTGGCCACATGCGCCGAATACAATACAGACATTACAGTGAAATGCTTACTTACAGCCCTTAACCAACAGTGCATTTATTTTTAATAAAAAAGTAAAATAAAACAACAACAAAAAAGTGTTGAGAAAAAAAAGAGCAGAAGTAAAGTAAAATAACAGTAGGGAGGCAATATATACAGAGGGGTACCGGTGCAGAGTCAATGTGCGGGGGCACCGGCTAGTTGAGGTAGTTGAAGTAATATGTACATGTGGGTAGAGTTAAAGTGACTATGCATAAATAATTAACAGAGTAGCAGCAGCGTAAAAAGATGGGGTGGGGGGGCAGTGCAAATAGTCCGGGTAGCCATGATTAGCTGTTCAGGAGTCTTATGGCTTGGGGGTAGAAGCTGTTGAGAAGTCTTTTGGACCTAGACTTGGCACTCCGGTACCGCTTGCCGTGCGGTAGCAGAGAGAACAGTCTATGACTAGGGTGGCTGGAGTCTTTGACAATTTTGAGGGCCTTCCTCTGACACCGCCTGGTATAGAGGTCCTGGATGGCAGGAAGCTTGGCCCCAGTGATGTACTGGGCCGTACGCACTACCCTCTGTAGTGCCTTGCGGTCGGAGGCCAAGCAGTTGCCATACCAGGCGGTGATGCAACCAGTCAGGATGCTCTCGATGGTGCAGCTGTATAATTTTTTGAGGATCTGAGGACCCATGCCGAATCTTTTCAGTCTCCTGAGGGGGAATAGGCTTTGTCGTGCCCTCTTCACAACTGTCTTGGTGTGTTTGGACCATGATAGTTCGTTGGTGATGTGGACACCAAGGAACTTGAAGCTCTCAACCTGTTCCACTACAGCCCCGTTGATGAGAATGGGGGCGTGCTCAGTCCTCTTTTTTTTCCTGTAGTCCACAATCATCTCCTTTGTCTTGGTCACGTTGAGGGAGAGGTTGTTATCCTGGCACCACACGGCCAGGTCTCTGACCTCCTCCCTATAGGCTGTCTCATCGTTGTCGGTGATCAGGCCTACCACTGTTGTGTCGTATACATTAAAGGGGCAATCTGGGATTGGTACATCAATTTTTTTATCTATATTTTTAGTTAGTGATACTATTAGCTAGCTATTTACTCTTGAAGAATATAACTCATACATTTATCATGAGCTTAGCGTTAGTTAAACTGCTTACCACATTAAAACCCAAAATAATATATGCATATTTATTCCATTGTTTGTAATTATAAACAAACACTGTACAGCTTCAAAACATGGTTAACATTTGGATCTAATGGATTGTCAGTCCTGGCATCCATAGCTCCATCTATGAATTTGAGAGTAGTTACATTTCTTCAGCCCCATCCCTCAGCTGTTTACCAAAAATGTGTCTCATTAGCTAGTATTATTATAAGCCTATCCTGTTCTGTATAATTTTGTCATGTCTTTTCTCCTTTGATTATAGAAGGTCGAACTCGCAAAATGGCTAGACATGACAAACTGTACACATGGATGCGGTATTTGATGTTGCTGCTTTGTGTGATACTTGTTGTAAGTAGCTAACTGTTGCCTAGCTAGCAAACAAAGCCCCGTTGAACTGTGCCTGTGTTTGAAATGCAAATAATTTACATTATTTTTAACCTATCATGTAAACTGTTCTTGGCTAGCTATATCTTCAGAAATATAGTTGCCCTCTCATAAAACCTAGGGTTGTGAATGCATTGCAAAAGTCAAACACACAGAAGAAGACAGCAACTACTGCTGTTGTCATTGTAATATTACCTAGCCTCAGAAATCTATCTGGCAAAACATAGAAGAAAAATAGACAAGTCCATAACAACTCAAATGCAATTTATTAGTTGATGATGAAAAAAATAAATACTGAAAGAACAGCACAATCCTCTCCCCTCCAGATAAGTGGCGTTGTGCTGCTGGGGCTTGGTGCATGGATTAGATATGGAGCAGCTACCTTTGTGGATGTCCTTGGCCCCTACTCGTCTCAGCTCATCTACATCAGCTACATCTGTATTGGTATGGGCTCAGTGCTGTCTTTCACGGGTCTCATCGGCTGCTGTGGGGCTTGGAAAGAGAACCGCTTCTTCATCATGCTGGTGAGAGACAACAGTTGTGCAGTCATTTTCAAGGCACCTGACAATAATTGTCTTACTGTGTTATACTACTGCAGAGTTGTAAATGTCCCACTCTTTTCCCCCTGCAAGCTTCAATAAGAGGCAACATTTTCACTATCCCTGTTTTTTTTGTACCCTGAACAGTTTTTCTTCATCGTGACAATGCTGTTTGTTGCTGAAATCATTGGGACTATTTTTGTCTTGACGTACCGGAATCTGGTAAGAATAATTGAACACTGCTGGCATCTGTATTATCAAGTAGGTGAACCTATATCATAATGTAGAGCCCTGTAAATTATTGAATTATTTGTATGATATAGCCTAGCCAGGCTATGCCTTTCAATAAACTGTGATGTCTATATGTGACAGGTTAGCTTAATGGTACGTGACGCAAGCAAGAATTCCCTGATGACTGCCTATATGGGCCCAGCGGCAACAGACCCCATCTCAACAGCATGGAACACAGTCATGATCAAGGTGAGATGCTCTAATGGGGAAAGGTCCAAATAGGCTTGGCTTTACTATTTGGTTCCTTCGACCACCAGAGCATCCCAGACAGTAGTTATTACAGCTAATGTCTCTCATTTCTTTATTGGTTTTTCATCTCTTAGTTCAAATGCTGTGGCTTTGAGAACACAACAGTTGATTTCAAGGGCTCTGTGTTCAGTACAACCACGGGTTTGAACTACCCTAAGACATGCTGCGTGAACAAGACCCTTGCAGACTGTGACGGTATCACCATCACTCCAAGTATGATCCAACCACAGGTAACCAAACCCAGTGCCTCACTGCACTATGTTGTATCAGTCTGTGCTCTAATGCTGTAAAGCCTTAAGCCAAATGCCCCCTGTGTGTTTCCCCAAGAGCTGCTTTGGTAAGGTCATCACAGTGATCAGAGAGCAGAGTGTCATCCTGGGATCAGCAGCTGGCTGCATATGTATGATGGAGGTATGCTATGGGAGAATCTCAATTGGTTTTGCTTGACTCCTTGCGTCCTCTCCTCCGTCTTCTCCTCGCCTCTTTTTGAAAAAGGTAATCAAGGATAGGAGTCGAGGATAAGAAACGTGTAAAAAAAAAAAGTGCTTGTATGAAATGACTCTTTCTCCACTAACTCGTCATCAAGCAGATGACGTTTACAGAGGAGGAATCGCAAAATACATGTGTAAAGTGGTAAAAAGAAATGTAGATAAAATAATTAGTAAAGTATCATTTTTAAATCTGTGCACGCTTTTCTCCTCCGAGTAAACAGCTGATTCAAAGGGTGTGTGGCAGATTTCAAAACTCTTTGCGGAGGATGCACTTCAGTATCCTTTGCCGAACAAAGTAATCGAGGAGGGGAGCAAACTCCTCTGTTCGCCTACTAACGATTTTCAACTGTCCTCGACCACTTGACCACATCGGTTTCCGGGTCATGGAGGAGAGGAGGACGGAGGAGTCGAGGAGAGGACTTTTGCCCAATTGAGAATCTCCCTATGAGTTACACTGCTCCCTCAAGGTCTTCTGGATAACTTTAACCTCTCTCAGACCTAAGGACTATTGATGGAAACAACTGTACTTGTTAAAGCATAGTAATACTTTTTCTACAGTAGCTCACCATTAGGACCTAAAGAGACATTCTTTGACAAGTATTCTTAGTTTGCTTACTATCTATTCTATAGCAATTGGTTGCTGAACAGATAATGTTGCTTGGCTTCAAGTCATTGTTTTCCTATCCTCTCTTCTCTTTGCAGTTATCCTCCATGATCCTTGCCATGGTTTTGTTTGTGAAGCTGGGGCTCATGAGGCATCCTTGGTGAAGCCAAAGGGTCCATCCACACCTGGAGGACACCAACAACCCCCACAGGCAACAATAAAGTTCTGCTAAACAATAAAAGTTGGTGTGTTTTCCTTAGATGAAATCTGATCTGTTATTTTGGTTATATTAAAAGTTAAATATATTTATTTTAAAGCTATGTTTTCACTGGGAATGGGAAACCTAGTCAGTTGCACAACTGAATGCATTCAACCGAAATGTATCTTCCGCATTTAACTCAACCCCTCTGATTCAGAGAGGTGCGGGGGGCTGCCTTAATCGACGTCATTGGCACCCGGGCAGCTGTTGTTGTTGGGGGTTAACTGCCTTGCTCAAGGGCAAAACAGCAGATTTTTCCACTTTTCCGGCTCAGGGATTCTAACCAGCGACCTTTCAGTTACTGGCCCAACACTCTTAACTGCTAGACTACCTGCCGCCCCACTTTATGTTAAATTCCAACAGAATATGTATTCTGCAATCATCTCAGTTTAATTTTAGTGCTCACAAATATGACAACAGCACCCTCGTGAAATTATAAATGAGTGAAGTGTAGAGAGAAGACATTTAAATCTAACCTACCTCCCATGCATATTTTTACATTTAAGATTAAGGTGACTTGATACAATTCTATGCAATAGCTGCTTCTATTTAAACAAAATAGCTGATTGAGGTAGAACTATTATTTGCTTTGATCATGTTTATTATAATTTTTTACATCTATTGCAACTATTGTTCATAAGGTGTAGAATATGTTCAAAAATAATATAAAAGAAGTGGCACTTGAAGGCCATTTAGATGTGATTACAGGGACTGTCTGTCACTTCAAATAAGGGCTGTGTTTCGTGTAGGCTTACCCTGGCGTGACGTTTTGATAACCGTGTAAATCTCTCTAGGATAAGGTGACTTTTATCAATATATTCGCCTGTATTTACCTCCCAAAAATGAAATGCTAATTAGCTGCTAATGTGGCAATCATAAAGAACTACAAATGCCATGATGATCTGGACAAGACTGCCAAATCGGGGCAAAGGTAAGAATCTCTGGATTAACTACCTAATGTTAGTTAAATGTATTAATTATTAAATTGGCTACATTTCTTTAAATGGACAATTCTTTGAACTGTGTTGTGCAAGTTTTAAATTGACACAATACCTGTTAGCAAAGGTGCCAGCTAGAGATGAAGTGCAGGAGCTTGCAGGGATTTGTAGTTTTGCATGATGTCTACTTTGACGCTAATTAGCATTTTTGAATCTGAGAGTAAATAGAGACGAATACACTACCGGTCAAAAGTTTTAGAACACCTACTCATTCAAGGGCTTTTCTTTATTTTTACTATTTTCTACATTTTAGAATAATAGTGAAGACATCAACACTATGAAATAACACATATGGAATCATGTAGTAACCAAAAAAGTGTTAAACAAATCAAAATATATTTATATTTGAGATTCTTCAAATAGCCATCCTTTGCTTTGATGACAGCTTTGCACACTCTTGGCATTCTCTCAACCAGCTTCATGAGGTAGTCAACTGGAATCCATTTCAATTGGTGGTATACAGAAGATAGCCTTATTTGCTAAAAGACCAAGTCCATATTATGGCAAGAACAGCTCAAATACGCAAAGAGAAACGTCAGTCCATCATTACTTTAAGACAAGAAGGTGAGTCAATACGGAATATTTCAAGAACTTTGAAAGTTTCTTCAAGTGCAGTCGCAAAAACCATCAAGTGCTATGATGAAACTGGCTCTCATGAGGACCGCCACAGGAATGGAAGAGTTACCTCTACTGCAGAGGATAAGTTCATTAGAGTTACCAGCCTCAGAAATTGCAGCCCAAATAAATGCTTCACAGAGTTGAAGTAACAGACACATCTCAACATCAACTGTTCATAGGAGACTGTGTGAATCAGGCCTTCATGGTCGAATTGCTGCAAAGAAACCACTACTAAAGGACACCAATAATAAGAAGAGACCTGCTTGGGCCAAGAAACACGAGCAATGGACATTAAACTGGTGGAAATGTGTCTGGTCAGGAGTCCAAATTTGAGATTTTTGGTTCCAACCGCCGTGTCTTTGTGTGTGGGTGAACAGATGATCTCTGCATGTGTATTTCCCACCGTAAAGCATGGAGGAGGAGGTGTTATGGTGTGGGGGTGCTTTGCTGGTGACACTGTCTGTGATTTATTCAGAATTCAAGGCACACTTAACCAGCATGGCTAACACAGCATTCTGCAGCGATACACCATCCCATCTGGTTTGGGCTTAGTGGGACTATCATTTGTTTTTCAACAGGACAATGACCCAACGCACCTCCAGGCTGTGTAAGGGCTAGGAGAGTGATGGAGTGCTGTATCAGATGACCTGGCCTTCACAATCCCCCGACCTCAACCAAATTGAGATGGTTTGGGATGAGTCGGACCGCAGATTGAAGGAAATGCAGCCAACAAGTGCTCAGCATATGTGGTAAGTCCTTCAAGACTGTTGGAAAAGCATTCCAGGTGAAGCTGGTTGAGAGAATGCCAAGAGTGTGCAAAGCTTTCATCAAGGCAAAGGGTGGCTATTTGAAGAATCTAAAAAAAATTTTTAAAAAAAGATTTGTTGAACACTTTTTTGGTTACTACATAATTCCATATGTGTTATTTCATAGTTTTGATGTCTTCACTATTATTATACAATGTAGAAAATAGTTTTAAAAAATAAAGAAAAACCCTTGAATGAGTAGGTGTTCTAAAACTTTTGACCGGTAGTGTATATTGATAAAAGTCACCTTGTCTGAGAGAGATTTACATGGCTATCAAAATGTTACGCCAGGGTAAGCCTACACGAAACACAGCCCTTATTTTAAGTGTTTCTAAAATCCCCTATAGGAAAAATTAAAGGTGGAAAAACGATTGGAACCATTCCCCTGTTTGACCGCTAGGTTTTATGTGTATTTTTATTTAACCTTTATTTAACTAGGCAAGTCAGTTAACCTCTACGGGATCGGTGTCCCGTATCCGGGATGGTTGAGCTAACGTGCGCTAATGTGATTAGCATGACTGTTGTAAGTAACAGCAAACTTTCCAGGACATAGGAATGTCTTTTACGGGCAGAAAGCTTACATTCTTGTTAATCTAACTGCACTGTCCAATTTACAGTAGCTATTACAGTGAAAAAAATACCATGCTATTGTTTGAGGAGAGTGCACAACAACAAAAAACTTATCACGGCAACTGGTTTGATACATTCACCTCTGAAGGTAAATAATGTACTTATATTCAGTCATCTAGCTCTGATTTGTCATCCTGAGGGTCCCAGAGATAAAATGTAGCATAGTTTTGTTTGATAAAATCCATTTTTATATTCAAATGTAGGAACTGGGTTCTACAGTTTGAACCCTTGCTGTCTCTGGCTCTACACCCACCGCGCCCGTCCATCTAGATGTGTGAAAGTTAGTGTATAAGCTATTGATCCATCATGTATGACATTCCTGGGAGTGTGTAAACTTACATTTTGTATTACCATATCATTTTTGTATGTTCTCTATAGTTATGTACTTGAAAATGTATCAATTGACCAATTCGGCACATTTGGGCAGACTTGATACAAAATAGTCCTGTATTGCAATGCTTCACTGGATCAATCTGAAACTTTGCAAACACACTGCTGCCATCTAGTGGCCAAAATCTAAATTGCGCCTAAACTGCAATATTATATTGTGGCCTTTCTCTTGCGTTTCAAAGGTTATGAAAAAAATAATAATAGAAAACGCATGTTTTTTTGTTTGTATTATCTTCTACCAGATCTAATGTGTTATTCTCCTACATTAATTTCACATTTCCACAAACTTCAAAGTGTTTCCTTTCAAATGGTATCAAGAATATGCATATCCTTGCTTCAGGTCCTGAGCTACAGACAGTTAGATTTGGGTATGTCGTTTTAGGCGAAAATTGAAAAAAAAGGGTCCGATCATTAAGAGCAAATTCTTATTTACAATGATGGCCTACCCCGGACGACGCTGGGCCAATTGTGCGCCGCCCTATGGGACTCCCAATTACAACCGGATTGTGATACAGCCTGGAATCGAACCAAGGTCTGTAGTGATGCCACTAGGTAATGAGATGCAGTGCCTTAGACCGCTGCGCCACTCGCCACACACCTCCGCTGTTGGGCTCTATATGCCTTCAGTGAGACTGGAATTCATCTGAACTGGTGTTTACTTTTAGGGTTTTCCATCTCTCTTCAGTGAGTTATACAGTTTACAGAACAATGTTAATATGTAAAGGGTCAGATATAAGAGAGGCTTCGCGTGTGACCTTTTCCTTTATTTTCTGAGTCAAACACACACACACAAATAATATAATCCCGAATTAATTACTTAATATAAAATGTAGGCTGTTGGAAAACTGCAGTTTCTTATCCTATTATTTTTGCCAAGATGTGCATAAATTGGACACAATGGGCCATGGCCATATTATAGACCAATGACTATTAAACGAAGAAATAGCCATTTTGACGTTGAGCCCTTATGTACATTATTTAATTAAAGGTTATGACAGGTTTGCAATGTGTGCGTGGCATTGAGCCGGTTTTGTCTGGAAGGCATACAGCTTTTGTCAAAGTTAACTTTTTCGTAGCAGGTTTAGGAGAATTTAAGCAGCAGGTTAGGCGAGTTGATGTAGCTGGTTAGGAGAATTAGATTAAGGTTACTAAAAGAGTTTAGAGTTAGCCAAAATGCGTCAATTTGACAGAAGCAGTATCCCTTCCAGACATTACCCATTGAGCCTGGTGATGTTGAAGGAGGAGTCAATCCAGTCCTCGCTTCTTTTCCACACACGGCATTCGAGCACTTGACTACTCTGCAACTCTCCCTCTCAAATTACAATCCCAACAAGATTCCACAGCTCAATTCAATTTCTGTTCTGAAGCGGAATCAATCAACCCTCCACCCAGCTTGTTATTAAAACAATTTGCTAATTCATGTTTTTCCTCAAACCCTTCTGAGTAGGCTACTTTTAAACAGGTGTTTTGGGCAGAGTGCCCGGAAGAAAAAAATGTCCAATGGGAAAGATGCACCTGCCGCGGCGAAGTAAGTTTCAACATCGAGACAGCTTGGCCTACTGCACTGAACAATTTTCTCTTGGTTGTTCGGTTTATATAGTTATTCAACATCAATTTAATTAATGTAAATACGCCGATATAAAAAAAATCAAGACAAGTACTTACTGATCAAGTACTTAGTTGCATTACTTTATTTGGAAGTTATTTAGGATATTTGTTATTTTACTCTACATTCGTTTTGTGTTGACATTAAGATGGACAGAATCAGGATGGTAGTTTAATAATAATACTTTGTGAGAGGGTTTATTTGAGAATTTTCTTTTGAAGAGAGTACATCTGATTCATGACTAATCAAATAATTCAACAAAATACCAGCCAATGCATGAATAGCTGAAGATAAAAAATTTATTTTAGCATGACTCACTCTCACCCTCCTTTCTTCCTTATTCCTGTCAAATGAAGTGTCGTTTCAGTTTAGTGCTTTCTTTAGACACACATATTACTTCTCACAAAGCATGTTTTATGTTGAACATATGTTGTATGTTGACGAGCTCTTTGTGGAGGGGGAAACCCACTGTTATTGTTATCTTGAAGTCATACAAGAATGCTAGTTTTCTTAGATCATCTTGCAGCTGATTTCTAAGAGTTCTGACTCTAAATAAATGCATACATTAGAGAATTTTGACAGGACTAGCTTGGCCAAAAGGATATTCTTAATTTTTCTTCATTTTACTGTGCACCAGAAAGCTTTGGATCTACCCGTGCCAGGTTTTAATGTTATGTGCACAAGTAAAATGAAACGCCTTTCTTGCAAGCTCTAAACCTAACAATGCAGTAATCAAGGTAAGACACTGAGCGGTGTGTGCAGACTGCTGTGAACAGGGGGGTGCTCGTGCATGTGTGTATTGACACTGTTGCAGGCAACTTACCTTACCTATGGGCTTTAGAGCCCTTCCATTACACATTTTCTTTCTCTGGAAGAGAGACAATAATAAAGCTGATACTTACTGTCCATGTAACCATTGTAGTGTGTGTGTGTGCAGCTCCTCACAGATGACCCTGCAGGCGTGCCTTGAGGAGTGTATGGAGGCCCTGGACCTCTTCCTCAACAACCACTTCAGTGAGAGCCTGGACAAACTGCGGCCACGGTAACAGTGCAACTCTATCTGGACTAAAGTGTGCTTCAAACTCTCCATTGGCCAATTAGTGTGTACAGGGTGTCTTGAGGCATATTTGTGCAGCCTTTAGCCTTTTGTCATTGAGTGGTGTGTAACTTAGTGCAACATCAGCACTGTTGAGGTGTGACGTGGTGTGGTGTAGTGCAGTGAACAGTGAAGTGTTGCACTTCCTGCTACCCAAGGCATCAGGCCCTGTCACTTCTCCAGGATATGGAGTGTTTACTGAAGCTGACGCCCAGGGCTCAACGGGCAGAACAGAGGCCCTGGAAAATGAACACCATACACACACAAGCTGGAGTGAAATGGAAGAGATAGAGGAAGATAGAAAAATAAATAGAGGTGTTTACTGTTGGCTACTGTATATACAGTGGGGGAAAAAAGTATTTAGTCAGCCACCAATTGTGCAAGTTCTCCCACTTAAAAAGATGAGAGGCCTGTAATTTTCATCATAGGTACACGTCAACTATGACAGACAAAATGAGGAAAGAAAATCCAGAAAATCACATTGTAGGATTTTTAATGAATTTATTTGCAAATTATGGTGGAAAATAAGTATTTGGTCACCTACAAACAAGCAAGATTTCTGGCTCTCACAGACCTGTAACTTCTTCTTTAAGAGGCTCCTCTGTCCTCCACTTGTTACCTGTATTAATGGGACCTGTTTGAACTTGTTATCAGTATAAAAGACACCTGTCCACAACCTCAAACAGTCACACTCCAAACTCCACTATGGCCAAGACCAAAGAGCTGTCAAAGGACACCAGAAACAAAATTGTAGACCTGCACCAGGCTGGGAAGACTGAATCTGCAATAGGTAAGCAGCTTGGTTTGAAGAAATCAACTGTGGGAGCAATTATTAGGAAATGGAAGACATACAAGACCACTGATAATCTCCCTTGATCTGGGGCTCCACGCAAGATCTCACCCCGTGGGGTCAAAAGGATCACAAGAACGGTGAGCAAAAATCCCAGAACCACACGGGGGGACCTAGTGAATGACCTGCAGAGAGCTGGGACCAAAGTAACAAAGCCTACCATCAGTAACACACTACGCCGCCAGGGACTCAAATCCTGCAGTGCCAGACGTGTCCCCCTGCTTAAGCCAGTACATGTCCAGGCCCGTCTGAAGTTTGCTAGAGTGCATTTGGATGATCCAGAAGAGGATTGGGAGAATGTCATATGGTCAGATGAAACCAAATTAGAACTTTTTGGTAAAAACTCAACTCGTCGTGTTTGGAGGACAAAGAATGCTGAGTTGCATCCAAAGAACACCATACCTACTGTGAAGCATGGGGGTGGAAACATCATGCTTTGGGGCTGTTTTTCTGCAAAGGGACCAGGACGACTGATCCGTGTAAAGGAAAGAATGAATGGGGCCATGTATCGTGAGATTTTGAGTGAAAACCTCCTTCCATCAGCAAGGGCATTGAAGATGAAACGTGGCTGGGTCTTTCAGCATGACAATGATCCCAAACACACCGCCAGGGCAACGAAGGAGTGGCTTCGTAAAAAGCATTTCAATGTCCTGGAGTAGCCTAGCCAGTCTCCAGATCTCAACCCCATAGAAAATCTTTGGAGGGAGTTGAAAGTCCGTGTTGCCCAGCGACAGCCCCAAAACATCACTGCTCTAGAGGAGATCTGCATGGAGGAATGGGCCAAAATACCAGCAACAGTGTGTGAAAACCTTGTGAAGACTTACAGAAAACGTTTGACCTGTGTCATTGCCAACAAAGGGTATATAACAAAGTATTGAGAAACTTTTGTTATTGACCAAATACTTATTTTCCACCATAATTTGCAAATAAATTCATAAAAAATCCTACAATGTGATTTTCTGGATTTTTTTCCCTCATTTTGTCTGTCATAGTTGACGTGTACCTATGATGAAAATTACAGGCCTCTCTCATCTTTTTAAGTGGGAGAACTTGCACAATTGGTGGCTGACTAAATACTTTTTTCCCCCACTGTATTTCCTCATTACCAATGGGTGAAGCCAGTCCCTATATTGGAAGCAAGACACATTTTTTTCTAAAGGAAATTAAAAAGTTCGCTGGACGATAAATACTTGCTGTTTTCTGATTGTTGTCAGTGGATGTGTATGATGATGATGTTGTGTGTATTGCGTTGAAGGGTAAAGGAGAGTATGTACCATGCTCTGATCTACGCCACTGTGCTGGAGATGCAGGCTATGATGACCTTCCAGCAGGATGACATCGTCAATGCAGGCAACACCATGAAGAGTGCCCAGGAGGTCTGCCAGAGGTGAGGATGCTACTGTACATGGACACTGTCATCTGTTTCATGTCCTCTTTAACACATTAGTTCATATTATAGGCACAAGCAACATCCACAAAAGGTAAATAGAGGGACATCCTGGAATATTCAGACAGTTGGTCTGGTCTGGCCTCTAACAGTTAGGCCTAATATGCCACTAAGGCTATTATTCCCCTGTCCATCAGCCTGCAGGCAAATGAGAGCATTTACATGGCAACCAGGTCTCTTTGCGCCTGTGCTGGAATTTGCCTGTGTTTGCATGGCCAGAGCGGCTCTTGATGGTCTAGGGGTACTCAGCTCTTACCCTATGAGGTCCGGAGCCTGTTCGTTTTCACCCCTGGCCTACAGCAAGCAAGGACACTTGAGATTGCTGGAGGTGGTTGAAAGGCTGTCGTGTTGTAATGTTGTTCCACATGAATGCCCATGTGATTAACATGAGAAACATGCATTGTTCAATGAGATTTTTTGTGTTAGGCTCATAATTGGTCTCATTTCTTCTTAGGTTTCGCCGAAAGTCCCCTAGTAATATCAGTAAATCACCTGGTGAGCGTCTAACTGAAGGTAAGAGCGCTTTTCTAATTGGGCCTCATCCTATTATTATGGCAGATTTCAAATAGCCACTGACCGTTTGTGTGCGGGTTTGCAGAACAGCTCCAAGCTCTCCATGCTGAAGCGTGTTATGCTGAATGCTTGCTCCAAAGGGCAGCTCTCACCTTCCTACAGGTAAGACAGGTCCTCCTGTCCTCAATTCTAAATCTTACTGATCCTGGTTAATGACACAATGCTGATGTTTCGTTTAGCATTGATGCACAGGTAACTGCCAAAATAAGGAAACACTTGAGTAAATGAGGGATACTAAGTATATTGAAAGCAGGTGCTTCCACACAGGTATGGTTTTCTGAGTCAATTAAGCAATTAACATCCCATCATGCTTAGGATAATGTATAAAAATGCCTAGTTGCCCATTATTTTAGATACCATGGCTAGAAGAAGAGATCAGTTACTTTGAAAGAGGGGTCTTAAAGGAGCATAGGGGGTTTAAAGGGTGTGTGTGTCTCAGTCACCAGATCTCAACCCAATTGAACACTTCTGGGAGATTCTGGAGCGGTGCTTGAGACAGCATTTTCCACCACCATCAACAAAACACCAAATTACGTAATTTCTAGTGGAAGAATGTCGCATCCCTCCATAGAGTTCCAGACACTTGTAGAATCTATGCCAAGGTGCATTGAAGCTGTTCTGGTGGCTCGTGGTGGCCCAACGCCCTATTAAGACGCTTTATGCTGGTGTTTCCTTTATTTTGGTCGTTACCTGTATGTATGATAACTGTATCCAACTGATTTAGATATCAGTCGATGAAACACATTGTAGTTTGCCCCTTCCGCTTCATGGTGTTTTGAGTCTGTGTGCATAGTTTAAAGCGTGATCCAACAGGTTTCCCCTGTCCTCCCATTCATTTGTGGATACAGTACATTACTGTCTCACCAGTTGACACCTTATGTTAAAATATGTTTTATTTTCCCTCTTCCTCAAGGATGAGAACATGGTGAGTTTTATCAAAGGAGGAATCAAAGTACGCAACAGTTACCTGATTTACAAGTAAGTTTGCAGGAGGAAGGGGAAAATGGTTCTAACATTATACAGTGTGATTGTGAATCAACAGAGGGAATCAATAATTATATTTACCAAATTATGCACTGCTATTACAATAACAGACTGTTCAGTTGTTAAAACAATAATGGCCATTTTCTCTGGTAAGTGTCTGTAGTTATCAGTCAGTTAGATGTGTTTTTATTGTGTAATAATCCCGCATTATTACGGCCTATTATATCATTATGTATAATCATGTTAGACTATGAATGACATAATTGCCTTTTATGACACAGGGAGCTGCACACCTTCATACAGTCTAACAGCTCTCTCCAAGGACCCAACCACATTCACTTAGAGGGAGGGGTGTCTTTTGGGATCGGAGCATTCAACTTGGTATGTCCCACAAGCATCCCCATATTCCATTAATGGCCCATTTGTTACATCATTACGTGTTTTACCACATGTCAGTCAGTCCTTATGCTGTATCACAGGGTTCTGTACTGTCTTCCACAGACTCTCTCCATGTTCCCACCTCGGTTACTCAAAGTTTTAGAGTTTGCTGGCTTCTCTGGAGACAAGGTATAGTTGCTCATTCTAACTTGTATATAGAAAGTGATTGGTTTACAGCAGGGCTGCCCAACCCTGTTCCTGGAGAGCTAGCCTGCTGTAGTTTTTTACCCTAGTTGTAATTCCCAATATTCACCTTATCAAGCAGGTCATTATTAGAATCAGGTCTGCTAGATAACCTACAGGTCGGTAGCTCAACAGGAACAGCGTTGGGCAGCCCTGCTTTACAGGTTGTCTCTGTTTCTCTCTCCCTCAGCATATACTGTATGTTCTTGTGTGCAGGAGTATGGTCTGTCCCAGCTGAATGATGGTGCCACTACACACAACCTGCGCTCCATGCTGTGTGCTCTGCTGTTGCTCTGTTACTACACCTTCCTCACCTTCATACTCGGTACTCTACTCCTCACAACCAGGAAGTGAATGGAGATCACAACTGACTTGGCTGTCCGGACATGACAGAAATACATTACAACATAATTTATGTATAACATACACGTGTGTGTGTGTGAGAGAGCTGAAGAGAGAGAGGGTAGACTGTGTTTGTGGGTTTCTGTGTTTTCATTTCTTTATCACTCTACAGGGACGGGTGAGGGGGACGTGGCTGATGCTGAGAAGCTGCTGAAGCCTTTCCGGCTGCGCTACCCACAGGTGAGTGACACTCCTCCTCCCCAGGCTCTCACCCAGCCCAAAGCAAACTCAACTCTGTATGGAACACAATGTGTACCGATACCAACAGATGTCTTGGCAAACACAATCTAAAATAATAGGTTTACAATGTGGGCGTAATGTGGGTAAGTAATGCACTGACCATGTAATAGGTCATTTAGTCAGAGGAGGTGCTTATGCTTGAGCTACCATTGTGTAAGTTTGTCATTTTACAAGTGCTAGCCACTGCCAAAGTATTATATATATGGTGTTGTCAGGTTATCAGAGAATGTTTACGTTTCTTTCCACTTCCCTTCAGGGGGCCATATTTCTCTTCTTCGCAGGCAGGGCTGAGGCGATCAAGGGGAACATTGATGAGGTGAGCCTCAAATTAAATGTCTTTGTGATGCTATTTGTGTTATCTGTCCCTTTTTTCAGTCATATTTAGCAGTGGTGTTTTTATTGATAGGCCTAGAATGAGTCAGTGTGTGCCTGTTTTCCTGGTGGGGTGTACTGTAATGGCGATGTGTTACCAGGCGGTGGTGCTGTTTGAGGATGGCTGCAAAGCTCAGCAGCAGTGGAAGCAGTTCCACCACATGTGCTACTGGGAGCTGATGTGGTGCTTCACATACAAGTGCGTGTGGAGGATGGCCTACTTCTACGCAGACCTACTGAGCAATGAGAGCCACTGGTCCAAGGCAAGAGAGTGTGCTGTAGTGTTGAGTATAGCCTAGGACCCAATTGGGAAGACGCAATTCCCACGCCCATATGTTCATCGAAAACACAAAACCACTTGAGCAGACACTCTTAATTTAATTCAGTCAACGGTTTTGACCTGCCCACTAAGTGTATGGCTTTTAAAGCCAATGCAGTATTTTCTCCCCACCACAGACTGTTGACATTATTAAACTCTACTTACTGTATGGCTGGGTCCTGACGGAAATAAGGCTTGTCTTTCCTTCAGGCCATGTATGTGTACATGAAGGCTGCTTACCTGAGCATGCTGGCTCCAGGGGAGGCTAGGCCCTTTGGGGAAGATGAGGTTGAGCTCTTCAGGTAAACAAACTCTCATCACAACAAAAAACGTAACTTGAAATTCCCCAGTCCCTTCTTTTAATTGTGACCACCCCTCTCTTTCCTGGCCCCTTCTCTTTTTCTGTCTTTGCCCACTCTCTTAGACAGGTGTCCACCTTCAAGCAAAAGATAGCAGGGAAGTCTCCCCCCACAGAGAAGTTTGCCATTCGCAAGGCTAGACGTTACAAAGCTAGCTGCCCAGTGAGGCTCCCAGTGCCTGTGCTGGTAAGACCCCACCCCACAAACGCAAAACTGCATAAAGACATACACAAATCTGTAGCTAAAATGCTAACGGTCAGTTGTATTTGTGTGATTCTGACAGTATTCTCTCTTTCTGCACTGCGGTAGGAGATTATGTACATGTGGAACGGCTTCTCCATGATCAGCAAGCGGCCAGAGCTGACCGAGGGCATGCTGCAGACACTGGTGGAGGCAGAGCGCACCCTGCTGGAATCTCCCGGTAATGCAACCTGTCTGGGGCTAACCAGTTTCAGGCAGTCAGACTGACTGGGCCAAACCAGCCTACTTCTCTCAGCTGTCCATGAAGCAATAACTACTCTTAGAATATCACCAAAAGAGAATGGATAAAGACTCATTCTACACACATTCTGCTTGAGCCTGTGTTGAGTAATTTTTAATGCATGGTTTTATAATCTGTGTTCTTTTTTGTTTTGGCAGCAAATGAGTATTCAGTGGATGACCGCTGTGTGATCCACCTACTGAAGGGGCTGTGTCTGAAGAACCAGGGACACATTCAGGCTGCAGAGGAATGCTTCAACAAGGTGTACAACAGGTGAGATGGGTAATCTTTTAGTCTGGGTATCTTTCATTTATACACACCTGGATCTGTGTGTTGTATAACAAGATGGTAAATACATGCAGACGCATATGTATCATGTTTGCTGAGAGGTTATAAAAACGAGTTTATTGGTTTATTTGGACCCCCATTAGCCTTTGCCAAAACAGCAGCTATTCTTCCTGAGATCGAGAGTGTCAATGTTTTTTTAACAAACTCATACATGCCAAAAGGAAATAATTTCATGGTATTTAATCAAACAATGTGTTCTCTGTTTGATTAAACCACACCAGTGTGTTATCACAGCAAATTGAGCAATGCAGTGTTATGTAGGACCTCATAGCAGTGAAATGCATTCTGAATAATGTCTAGAGACAGTCAGTGATAGATGAACATGCTCAGTGTAAATGACTAAGAGGTTAATGATATGGCCGTCTGTTCTCTAACCTCCAGTGAGAAGAAGATCAAGTTTGACCATTACCTGGTGCCCAACGCTCTGCTGGAGCTCAGTGTGGTCTACATGGACACGGGCCGCAAGGAGGAGGCCATCAAATTACTGGTGAAGGCCAAGTGAGTCACCTCTTACTGGTTGTTCCGATACAGCCTGCAAGCTGTAGTAGGATGTAGCAGGCTTGCATTCCAGCTCGGCATGAAAACAGCGATTACTCACCTCGAACTGGATGAAGATGTTTTCTTTAACGAGTCGGGCGCAAAGGATTTATTCCAGATACTCGACCAGGCCCAAATCCCCGTCATTCGCGTGAAGAGAATACTCAAATACAGGGGACGCAGGTCTGGGTGCCTTGTGAGAATTCGTCGGCGAGTGGGTAACCCGCCTCTACCATCCGTCCTATTGGCCAACGTGCAATTATTGGAGAATAAACTGGATGAGCTCCGTTCAAGACTATCCTACCAACGGGACATTAAAAAACTGTAATATCTTATGTTTCACCGAGTCATGGCTGAACTACGACATGGATAATATACAGTTGGCTGGTTTTTCCGTTCATCGGCAAGACAGAACAGCTGCTTCCGGTAAGAAAAGGGGTGGCGGTCTGTGTCTATTTGTCAATAACAGCTGGTGCGCCAAATCAAATATTAAGGAAGTCTCTACGTTTTGCTCGAGTATCTCATGATAAGCTGTACACCACACTATTTACCAAGATAGTTTTCATCTAAACTCAGCAAAAAAAGAAACGTCTTCTCACTGTCAACTGCGTTTATTTTCAGCAAACTTAACATGTGTAAATATTTGTATGAACAAAACAAGATTCAACAACTGAGACATAAAGTGAACAAGTTACACAGACGTGACTAACAGAAATTGAATAATGTGTCCCTAAACAAAGGGGGGGTCAAAATCAAAAGTAACAGTCAGTATCTGGTGTAGCCACCAGCTGCGTTAAGTACTGCAGTGCATCTCCTCCTCAAGGACTGCACCAGATTTGCCAGTTCTTGCTATGAGATGTTACCCCACCAAGGCACCTGCAAGTTCCCGGACATTTCTGGGGGGAATGGCCCTAGCCCTCACCCTCCGATCCAACAGGTCCCAGACGTGCTCAATGGGATTGAGATCCGGGCTCTTCGCTGGCCATGGCAGAACACTGACATTCCTGTCTTGCAGGAAATCACGCACAGAACGAGCAGTATGGTTGGTGGCATTGTCATGCTGGAGGGTCATGTCAGGATGAGCCTGCAGGAAGGGTACCACATGAGGGAGGAGGATGTCTTCCCTGTAACGCACAGCTTTGAGATTGCCTGCAATGACAACAAGCTCAGTCCGATGATGCTGTGACACACTGCCCCAGACCATGACGGACCCTCCACCTCCAAATCGATCCCGCTCCAGAGTACAGGCCTCGGTGTAACGCTCATTCCTTCGACCATAAAGGCGAATCCGACCATCACCCCAGACCTGTCTGGTCCAGCGACGGTGGGTTTGTGCCCATAGGCGACGTTGTTGCCGGTGATGTCTGGTGAGGACCTGCCTTACAACAGGCCTATGGGCACAAACCCAACAACAAAAAATTTCACTGTCCCAATACCTTTGGAGCTCACTGTATATAGTACACACACACACAACGTTACCCCGTTACTATGTCTTACTCATGATTCCTATCCACTTTGTTCTGTTCCCTCAGAAATAACTACAAGGAGTACTCCATGGAGTCACGCACCCAGTTCAGAATCCATGCTGCCCTCTCCAAACTCAAGGCTGACACTAGTGACCAAGATGAAATCACAGCACTGTAGTATAACAGGTGTCATTGTGCTGAGCAAGCACTGGACTTGCTTCCCCTGCCATGTGTAGACGTTCCAGGAAGACTTGCTCTCTTTTACATCCTCAGCCACTTTGATCCCTGCCTCCAAATGTTACTTGCTTTGATGGGGAAAGTCTCCTTCCTTCATGGATGGTGGTCTCTCCGTGATTAAAATACTTGAGTTTTGAATGGGAGTTGGTAGAAGTTGCCCTTATTTGCTGGTCCTAGATCAGAGGCATTTTATCTACCTACTGGGTGATGAACACCCTGATGCTACATCTGTGGTTAGGGTCAACTTCTATCTTCAGTGTTTGAATGTGTGGTACTTATATCACTGTACTGGTTACCCATAACAGTGGATGGGAGGCAGTTGCTCAAAACAATTTTACTACAGTATATCCACTGTTTTGTGGATAATTTTTGTTGTTGTTGAAATGAACTCATTAACAATCGAAGTAATGCTCGTATGTACTGATATGTGAGGTATAGTTTTGCTTTTAACTTCCCTAAAAGTGATTGAGTATTACTGTAAGCATTTTGACAAAAGCACCACTTTGGTGATAACTGAATAAGACAGACGTACATAAGACTACATAACGTGAGACATTACTTTGATCCCAGAGTTATTTTAACAAATGTATTAACATATTTATTAGTAAGTGTAGAAGGACCTTAATAATCAATAGGTCATGCTACATTTTTTTATGTATGTTGTCCCTGCTGAAATGTACAGAGAATAGTCAGTTCAAATAAGTTTAACCTCATATTCATTACTTCAAATAAAGTTTAGACTGTCACTCTCAAGACCTTGTACAAAAAAAGGCGTGGTTAAACGTGATTAAATGATTTGAAAAACATTAAATATGTCAGTTTGCTGCCAGTCTTTTATTGTTTTATCATTTACTGGAGCATATTTCAAAGTAGAAGGTAACCCCTCGTTGTCCAGATTGCCCTATAAATAACAAACTTTGATTAAGAGGTGACGTTTTATGACTTTACAGATAAAGATGTATGACTGGTACATACACAGAGTACAGAAAACATTATGAACACCTGCTCTTTCCATGACATAGACTGACCTGGTGAATCCAGGTGAAAGCTATGTTCCCTTATTCATGAAGGGGAGGAGACAGGTTAAAGAAGGATTTTTAAGCCTTGAGACAATTGAAACATGGATTGTGTGTGTTCCATTCAGAGGGTGAATGGGCAATACAAAACATTGAAGTGCCTTTGAACAGGGTATGGTTGTGGATGCCAGGCGCACCGGTTTATGTCAAGAACTGCAACGCTGCTGGGTTTTTCACGTTTAACAGTTTCCTGTGTGTATCAAGAATGGTCCACCACCCAAAAGACATCCAGCCAAATTGACACAACTGTGGGAAGCATTGGAGTCAACATGGGCCAGCATCCCTGTGGAAGGCTTTCGACACATTGTAGAGTCCATGCCCTGACAAATTGAGGCTGTTCTGAGGGCAAAAGAGGGGGTGCAACTCAATATTAGGAAGGTGTTCTTAATGTTTTGTATACTGTGTATAACCTTACCTGCTACTTCCTTGATGAACTTAATCAGTAGATCATGACATCTCACCCAGTGTCTTTCATAAACCGTCTGCACAACAGTGTGCACTATGTGAGGCAGAGGCCAGGGGATAAATGTTCTACATCCTTATACTATATGATATACTTTATTGTCCATTTACATGGACATTCCGTTTGTGAAGTTATCATACAAATACACAAAAACAATACCCTATAATACAGTTGAAGTCAGAAGTTTACATACACTTAGGTTGAAGTCATTAAAACTTGTTTTTCAACCACTCCACAAATATCTTGTTAACAAACTATAGTTTTGGCAAGTCGGTTAGGACATCTACTTTGTGCATGACACAAGTAATTTTTCCAACAATTGTTTACAGACAGACAATTTCACTTATAATTCACTGTATCACAATTCCAGTGGGTCAGAAGTTTACATACACTAAGTTGACTGTGCCTTTAAACAGCTTGGAAAATTCCAGAAAATGATGTAATGGCTTTAGAAGCTTCTGATAGGCTAATTGACATCATTTGAGTCAATTGGAGGTGTACCTGTGGATGTATTTCAAGGCCTACCTTCAAACTCAGTGCCTCTTTGCTTGACATCATGGGAAAATCAAAAGAAATCAGCCAAGACCTCAGAAAAGAAATTGTAGACCTGTCTGGTTCATCCTTGGGAGGAATTTCCAAACGCCTGAAGGTACCACGTTCATCTGTACAAAAAATAGTACGCAAGTATAAACACCATGGGACCACAAAGCCATCATACTGCTCAGGAAGGAGACGCGTTCTGTCTCCTAGAGATGAACGTACTTTGGTGCGAAAAGTGCAAATCAATCCCAGAACAACAGCAAAGGACCTTGTGAAGATGCTGGGGGAAACAGGTACAAAAGTATCTATATCCACAGTAAAACAAGGCCTATATCGACATAACCTGAAAGGCCGCTCAGCAAGGAAGAAACCACTGCTCCAAAACCGTCACAAAAAAGCCAGACTACGGTTTGCAACTACACATGGGGACAAAGATCGTACTTTTTGGAGAAATGTCCTCTGGTCTGATGAAACAAAAATAGAACTGTTTGGCCATAATGACCATCGTTATGTTTGGAGGAAAAAGGGGATAGCTTGCAAGCCGAAGAACACCATCCCAACCGTGAAGCACGGGGGTGGCAGCATCATGCTGTGGGGGTGCTTTGCTGCAGGAGGGACTGGTGCACTTCACAAAATAGATGGCATCATGAGGAAGGACAATTATGTGGATATATTGAAGCAACATCTCAAGACATCAGTCAGGAAGTTAAGGCTTGGTCGCAAATGGGTCTTCCAAATGGACAATGACCCCAAGCATACTTACAAAGTTGTGGCAAAATGGCTTAAGGACAACAAAGCCAAGGTATTGGAGTGGCCATCACAAAGCCATGACCTCAATCCTATAGAACATTTGTGGGCAGAACTGAAAAAGCATGTGCGAGCAAGGAGGCCTACAAACCTGACTCAGTTACACCAGCTCTGTCAGGAGGAATGGGCCAAAATTCACCCAACTTATTGTGGGAAGCTTTTGGAAGGCTTCCCAAAACGTTTGACCCAAGTTAAACAATTTAAAGGCAATGCTACCAAATACTAATTGAGTGTATGCAAACTTCTGACCCACTGGGAATGTGATGAAAGAAATAAAAGCTGAAATAAATAATTCTCTCTACTATTATTCTGACATTTCACATTATTAAAATAAAGTGGTGATCCTAACTGACCTAAGACAGGGAATTTCTACTAGGATTAAATGTCAGGAATTGTGAAAAACTGAGTTTAAATGTATTTGGCTAAGGTGTATGTAAACTTCCGACTTCAACTGTACATACATGATTGTAGGGTGCTGGAGATTCTCTATTGAACATGCTTTTTAGTCCAGGACTAGGCTTCATCTGTGTCCAGGAAACTGACACCTTAGGGTTGCAATGATATTAAGGTATTTTTTAACATATTGAGAGTGAGACCCAGGGTCTTGAGACCATGACAAGAGCAAGACTGCATTTACTTGGTCTGAAGTAATCTCAGACCAATCCTCAAGATCAAGACTCAATATCTGGTGTATACTAAACTCAGCAAAAAAAGAAACGTCCCTTTTTCAGGACCCTGTCTTTCAAAGATAATTTGTAAAAATCCAAATAACTTCACAGATCTTCATTGTAAAGGGTTAAACACTGTTTCCAATGCTTGTTCAATGAACCATAAACAATTAATGAACATGCACCTGTGGAACGGTCATTAAGACACAAACAGCTTACAGACGGTAGGCAATTAAGGTCACAGTTATGAAAACTTAGGACACTAAAGAGGCCTTTCTCCTGACTCTGAAAAACACCAAAAGAAAGATGCCCAGGGTCCCTGCTCATCTGCGTGAACGTGCCTTAGGCATGCTGCAAGGAGGCATGAGGACTGCAGATGTGGCCAGGGAAATAAATTGCAATGTCCGTACTGTGAGACGCCTAAGACAGCGCTACAGGGAGACAGGACGGACAGCTAATCGTCCTCGCAGCGGCAGACCACGTATAACAACACCTGCACAGGATCGGTACATCCGAACATCACACCTGCGGGACAGGTACAGGATGGCAACACAACAACTGCCCGAGTTACACCAAGAACGCACAATCCCTCCATCAGTGCTCAGACTATCCGCAATAGGCTGAGAGAGGCTGGACTGAGGGCTTGTAGGCCTGTTGTAAGGCAGGTCCTCACCAGACATCACCGGCAACAACGTCGCCTATGGGCACAAACCCACTGTTGCTGGACCAGACAGGACTGGCAAAAAATGCTCTTCACTGACAAGTCGCGGTTTTGTCTCACCAGGGGTGATGGTCGGATTCGGGTTTATCGTCATAGGAATGACCGTTACACCGAGGCCTGTACTCTGGAGAGGAATCGATTTGGAGGTGGAGGGTCCGTCATGGTCTGGGGCGGTGTGTCACAGCATCATCGGACTGAGCTTGTTGTCATTGCAGGCAATCTCAAAACTGTGCGTTACAGGGAAGACATTCTCCTCCCTCATGTGTACCCTTCCTGCAGGCTCATCCTGACATGACCCTCCAGCATGACAATGCCACCAGCCATACTGCTCGTTCTGTGCGTGATTTCCTGCAAGACAGGAATGTCAGTGTTCTGCCATGGCCAGCGAAGAGCCCGGATCTCAATCCCATTGAGCACGTCTGGGACCTGTTGGATCGGAGGGTGAGGGCTAGGGCCATTCCCCCCAGAAATGTGCCTTGGTGGGGTAACATCTCACAGCAAGAATTGGCAAATCTGGTGCAGTCCATGAGGAGGAGATGCACTGCAGTACTTAACGCAGCTGGTGGCCACACCATATACTGACTGTTACTTTTGATTTTGACCCCCCCTTTGTTCAGGGACACATTATTCAATTTCTGTTTGTCACATGTCTGTGTAACTTGTTTTTTTTGTCTCAGTTGTTGAATCTTGTTATGTTCCTACAAATATTTACACATGTTAAGTTTGCTGAAAATAAACGCAGTTGACAGTAAGAGGACGTTTCTTTTT